ATGGATTCTCATCGTTTCATCTCCGCACTGCTATGCTGACCGTTGAGATCAGGTAGGGGATAGGGATGGTGGCTATTCAGGAGAGTTGTGGGATTTAGGTGGGCGTGGCTCAGGTGGCGGGGCGGGGCTGAGGTTGCATCTCAGGTGGTCAGTTTGGTGGTGATGTTGGGAAGGTGGTAAATTTAGTGGTGATGGTCATGGTGGTTGAATGAAGGTAGTGAGGTGGAAAAAGAAGATTAAAAAAAAAAAAAAAAAAAAATCTGTGAAACAGGTTGAAGGTAAAAAAACTAGTTTTCAGAATATGGGGTGTTAAGGTGAGATTATTTTTGGAATACGCAAATGTGGGATTATTTTGAGAAAATGTGCCAAAGGTGAGATTATTCTTTTCAATTTTTCCTTAAAAAAAATCATGTATGGAACAATTATATAAGAATTAACAGGGGATTAATTGCAATTTACAACCCACTAAACACCCTATTTTAATTTAACCACTCATTTTTTTAAGAATTGGAAATGCTTCATTTGGTGTATGTAATGCAAACTGAGGTAATTTTTAATACGTAAAACGAGATATTTCCAACAACTTATTTCAATTCGAACTTCAAATCAAATCCAAAATGCCAAAATGATCTTCGAAACCTTAATACAACAAGTTTTGACACGAAAATCGTTGTTTTTATTTTAATAATTGGAACATATGGTAGTTTCCTCGATACTAGAGTTAGAGCAAAGACTTGTAAAGTTGACCCAAAATTGACTCTTAGTCAATTAGACCTAATAATACGGGTCAATTATAAGGCCCACCGGCCCAAAGTAGTCAATATTGCTCAGCTTGTTTGCCATATTCTCGCGGCATAAGATAAAAATCTCGGTCAAAATTCTCATTTTCTGTGCAATACTAATTTATCAAAATGTTATTCGTCATTAATCATTCAAAGCTACATCTCTATTCATCTCTTGTTTTTATTATCTTTAGTTCAAGGTTTATCATTAGTGAACCAAAGAATACCCTTGTTACTTCTGAATGCTATCACGACAAATTCACATTCGAAGCCTCATTTTCGAGCAACCTCAACAAGTTGTTATCTTCGCTGCCAGAAATTGCAGGCCAAAGCATCAATAATGGATACAATGCCACAAATTCGGCAGACTTGGCTGCATTTGATTCGGAGAAAGTCTATGTCCTATTCCTATGTCAAGGTGATGCAACTTCTGATGATTGTAAAGGCTGCGTGTGATGCGGATGCATTCAACGTTTCCTTTCTTGGTCCGTTTCTTTAATGTTTCTTAGATTAGATTTTGGCTTACAAGTTTTTACCTTTCACTTGAAAGGGTTTTTCTTGTTTTAAGCGTTAGGATTTTTATTTTGATTAGGAATTGTTTTGGTCTAGTGAGTTCCTATTTGAATTAGGACTTGTCTTTAGCAAAAGAGATTCCTAATTGGATTAGGACTTGTTTTTAGCAAAGTAAATTCCTAAGTGGATTAGGACTTGACTTTGGTTTTTAGGCGTGTCTAGGTGTTTTAGGAGGATTGAATAACCTAATCTAAGTTGAATTAAACTTAGTTAGTTTAGTCATATCCGAATTAGGAACTTGGGGATCAAGTTTCGGTTTTCTTAGGTTTTCTAGGTCAAATGGGATTCTAATTTAATTAGGATTAGTCTTCTAATTTGATTAGGTTTAGGATTAGTTTTGAGTCTATAAATAAAGGTTGTAAACTTCAAATTATACAAGTTTGTTTTGTTGATTAAAGCTTTATTGCTTGTTAATTTGGAACGTTTCTTTCCAAGTTTTCTTTGTGTTTGACGAGTGAAGTTAAACATAAAAACCCTTAGATTAGGCGAGTGAAACCTGATTTAAGAGAGGTTAGATTAATTAGTGAGTGAAGCTAATTCAAACTATCCTCAAAAAAAACCCCTAAATCACGAGATTAAGGTGAGTGAAGCCTTGAAATCAGATTTAGAACCCTTAGGCGAAAACAAACGAGTGAAGCTTGTTTAAACCTAAGACCAAACGAATCAAGAAACGCATCAAATGGTATCAGAGCTGTTGGTGTGATTATTGAGTCGTTATATCCTTGTTCTTGAGCAATCAAGAATCAATTCGTGCTAGTTTCTTGGTTCTTGTTCTTCTCGGCGCAGATCTGGACCAGTTGGAAGTTTTAGGTTACTGCGAACTATATACTTGGTATTTTTCGGTGATTCTTTTTTGGTTGGATTCCTATTGGACTAAAATTATAGCCTGTAAAATTTCGTGGTCATTGGATAAGTGACGCAAAATCTACAGCAACAAACATTCGAGGGAAGATTACCGATTGTGCGCAAATATGGTGAGTAAATCAACGGAAACTCACTTGCTTGAACAAATGGCTGCTTTGATGGAACAAAACATTACTTTCATGAATCATATGAAGAGTCTTGAAGGGGAGATGTCCGAATTGAAGGCTAAGGCTTCGGGAGGTTCTATTGGTAGTGGTGGATACAAGAAGGATGAGGAGATCAAACTGAGTGATCTTCCAGAATTCGATGGTACTTTAGATCCAGAAGTTTATCTAGATTGGGAGCGACGAGTAGATCGAATTTTCTCTCACAAAGGTATTGATGATTATAAGTGCTTTACTTATGCTATTCTTAAATTGTCAAAGCTTGCATCTTTATGGTATGATAATTGTCAAATCAAGAGAGAAAGGGAAAAGAAAGAAAGAATTAATTCATGGAATTTGCTGAAACAAAAATTGAGAAAACGCTTTGTTCCACGATCCTATAAGCAAGATTTGTTTCATAAATTCAATACTTTGCAACAAAATAATTTGAGTGTCGAAGATTATATTAAAGAATTTGAGAGATTGTCATTAGCTTGTGATTGTAAAGATGAGGAGGAACAAAAGATCTCTAAATTTCTTGTTGGCCTTAATATGGAAATTGGACATAAAGTTGAGTTGCAATCGTTCTTTACTTTTGATGAGGCTTGTGAGCTTGCTGTAAAGGTTGAAAGACAAATTAAAACTTCAAAGTTGAAATCTTTTCGACCTAATTATGCTCTAAAGGGTGAGACTTCAAAGGGTTTTGAAAAATCTGAAAATTGGGAAAAGAATAAAGGTGTTTCGGATTCCTTTAAGTTTGATGCTCAAGCTAAAAATCAAAGAGTTGATAAAGATGAAATCAAGTGTTTCAAGTGTCAAGGTAGAGGTCACTACAAGTCCGAGTGTCCTAATAGAAGGGTCATGACATTAACAAGATACCAAGCCTTAGAAGAGGAGGATGCTAAACTTGCTTTACTTCTAAAAGAGCAACGTGAAGGAGAGGAGAATGAATATGACTTTGAGGAAGAGTGTGAAGAGCAACCATTGTGTGAGGCAGCCCCGGATCACAACACACTTGTTTTGAGAAAGCTTCTCCATGCTCAATCTACTCCTTTGACTGATATGGCACAAAGGGAGAACTTGTTTCACACTAGATGCTTAGTGAATGGGCGTAGTTGTTCAGTTATTGTGGATAATGGTTCTTGTACTAATGCATGCTCTAAGAAGATGACGGATACATTGCAGCTTGAGACTAGGAACCATCCTAATCCTTACAAACTTAATTGGCTCACAAATGTTGGAGGAGTACATGTTTCGAAACAAGCATTGGTTTCTTTTACAATTGGTGAGTTTGAAGACAAAGTGTGGTGTGATGTTGTTCCTATGGATGCATGTGCTTTGTTGCTAGGCCGTCCTTGGCAATTTGATCGTGATGTGATCTACCTTGCAAAGAAGAATGTGGTTTCAGTTCTACATAAAGGGAAAAGGATTGGATTAAAACCTTTGCCTCCTAAATTCGAACCTATGCAACATGATGGCAGCAAGGTTATTTCTCTTTCTACATGTGATGAAGGTGGTTCAAGTAAGAGGAAGAAGAAAGACAAGCAGCAAGATAGAGTGCTTCAACTTGTTCGTAAGTCTCCATTTGAGATAGGTGACTATGTGTGGCTTTCTTTGAGTGCACAGAAGTTATACAACAACCGCAAAGACAAGCATGAATCCTTTGATGAAGGGCCTTTTAAAATCGTGCATAGGGAGAATTATGATACATTTCAAGTGCTACTTGGTGAAGGCGTTTGTGCTTCTCTTAGCGCAAATGATCTCGTTCCTTGTTATGATGTAACTTGAGGACAAGTTCGTTTTCAAGAGGAGGAGTATGATGCGGATGCATTCAACGTTTCCTTTCTTGGTCCGTTTCTTTAATGTTTCTTAGATTAGATTTTGGCTTACAAGTTTTTACCTTTCACTTGAAAGGGTTTTTCTTGTTTTAAGCGTTAGGATTTTTATTTTGATTAGGAATTGTTTTGGTCTAGTGAGTTCCTATTTGAATTAGGACTTGTCTTTAGCAAAAGAGATTCCTAATTGGATTAGGACTTGTTTTTAGCAAAGTAAATTCCTAAGTGGATTAGGACTTGACTTTGGTTTTTAGGCGTGTCTAGGTGTTTTAGGAGGATTGAATAACCTAATCTAAGTTGAATTAAACTTAGTTAGTTTAGTCATATCCGAATTAGGAACTTGGGGATCAAGTTTCGGTTTTCTTAGGTTTTCTAGGTCAAATGGGATTCTAATTTAATTAGGATTAGTCTTCTAATTTGATTAGGTTTAGGATTAGTTTTGAGTCTATAAATAAAGGTTGTAAACTTCAAATTATACAAGTTTGTTTTGTTGATTAAAGCTTTATTGCTTGTTAATTTGGAACGTTTCTTTCCAAGTTTTCTTTGTGTTTGACGAGTGAAGTTAAACATAAAAACCCTTAGATTAGGCGAGTGAAACCTGATTTAAGAGAGGTTAGATTAATTAGTGAGTGAAGCTAATTCAAACTATCCTCAAAAAAAACCCCTAAATCACGAGATTAAGGTGAGTGAAGCCTTGAAATCAGATTTAGAACCCTTAGGCGAAAACAAACGAGTGAAGCTTGTTTAAACCTAAGACCAAACGAATCAAGAAACGCATCAGCGTGTCTGATGCAGCTGATAAAATTCAGAGCCAGTGTCCGAATGCCAAAAGAGCGGTAATTTGGTATGATACATGCATGGTTCGGTACTCCAACACGTCTTTTCTTGGGGATGTGGATGAGAATATTCAACTTGGTTTGGCAAACACCGAATACTTCGGGACTGATGTTAACAAGTTCATGAATTTGACGGGTAATACCTTGTACGATTTAGCTTCTAAACTGGGCAAATCCGAGGATAATCCTAGGTTGTTAGGGGTAGGAGACAGGAAATACTACTTAACTAAAGGTGATGTTGTTTTTAATAGTTTGATAAAATTATATACTAGAGCTCAATGCACGCCTGACCTTACTGCAATGAACTGTCAGAAGTGTCTTACCATTATGCTTACTAAGATGGCCACTTATTGTAATGGGAGCAAGGGTTGTCAGATGATGAATCCTAGCTGCAATACACGGTACGAGGTCTATCGATTTTATAAGGATATAGCCTCACCAGTGTCACCACCACCTGTTGCGGCATTGTCACCACCGCCAAGGACAACACCGCCACCTCCTGTGAAGGGTACGTAATTATTTTCTTACACATGTTCCCTAATATATACTTACTTCTAATGCAACTAAGATCAATTTTTAAAGTTGAGTCATGCTAAATTATTATGTCCACACGAATCCAAATCTGAATCAGATATTTTTCAGGTCGGTTTTGGATCCTTTTGACACCTCTAGACTTAATACTTGATATATGTGACATTTAATCATTATTTTTCACTATATTTTTTTTTAATGGAAAGTTAATAGTGTTTCTAAGTTGTCTCGATACTCTAACGATAATTTTGATAAAAGAATCTAGGTCACACTCGTCACAAATATCTAAAGAGGTTCCACCTCAAAACCATATGGAAATGAGATGAGTAGCCCCTTAGCCTTTCTTTTCACAATCACCGCATAACTAACACCAAAATTAAAAAAACATTGTGAAACAAGGAGTGACATAATAATATCACGTACTGTGGTACTTGGTAGTTTGTAGGGCCGGTAATAAATACAACAAAAACCAAAAAGAAAGGAACAACTACTGCTTAGCTGGCTGGGTCAAGTAATGTGATAAAATCTTGTCGTCATTTATTGAGGTTAGTAATTATATATGTTGGAGAACAACGTCATAAACTAAGGTGTGCTCCGTAGTTGATTAGTCGTATGGTAGCTCTCAACTTCTCAAGCCTGTGGAACCAAATTTTGCTGGCATACATGAAGTATCATGATTGTGGCGTTATTACATGGGCGACCTCCATTTAATTGACATGTGATCCAACTATGCAAGTCAAGAAGGATGTGTCATGAGTTTGCTTTAAGTACAAAACCATTCCATTCGATAGTCTACAACTATCAATATGTTCCTGTAAAATTAATCTCAATATTAATTTTATGTATTTTTCATTCATAATAATCAACCACACTATAATAATAATGTATATATAGACAATACGAATACTCGGAGAGCAAGCACTATATTTCCCTAGTTATCTTAACTATACATAAAGTATATCACATTATTTAACATATATCTTTATTTTCACAAGATATTCTCTAAAATAATATCACAATCATATCTCTATACTCAATTATATCTCATAATATTAGACTTAGGGGTGAACACGGTCTGGTTTGGTGCGGTTTAAGTCCAAACCAAACCAAATCGCAAAATTCAACTTGGTCAAATTTTCAAACCAAACCAAACCATATTAGTATTGAAATCGAACCAAACCAAACCGTAATAATGCGGTTTGGTGCGGTTTGGTTTGCGGTTTATGATGAGACGTCATTTTTCCCTAAAAATTGCCAAATAATACATCATTAACTTATAATAAAGTTTAAATAATTAGCCCAAACGTATTAAAATTGTATTACAAATTTACAATAAAAATAACAATCTAAGTGCTAACACATAATACAATAATCAATTTATCATCATAAATTCATAATACATTATAGTCATTATTATTATTTATACAACAAATTGGCAGCAACATGACAATATTGATAACATTAAGGGCTTAGAGCACTATCAATGGTGAGCTAAAAATTTGCTCATGCGCATTTTGGGTGGGCATAAAATTTGCTCATGCATTACAATGGTGAGCAAATGAGAAAAAGCTAAAAAATGCTCATGAGCATTTCTGAAAATGCCCAAGACTTGAGCATTTTAGAAGATGAATAGTGCTCTGGTGGGCCCCACAACTTGCAATAGTTATATTTTTTGTAATGCAAATTCTGAAATAAATATTTATTAAAAAAAAAATTAAAATTACCAACGGTCATAAAATTTAATTCTCTATAAATAGACATGCATTTTGGTATATTTTGGTATAATTTCAGAAATACCATAAATCCTTCATATTCTTTATTTTAACGATAAAAACGACACAAATAAAAAAAAAAGTTACACAAATTTAGACTAGTTTTTATTTATTTGGAGTAATATTGTTAAAATATAAATGAAATTAATAAATAAAGAAGTGTTGTGTAGGAGAGAGAAAGTAATGGTGGGGTATTGAAAAAGTAAGAGAGAGAGAGTAGTGGGCAAGCATTTTTTTTTGCTCACCATTAGGAGAGAAATTGTGAAAAAAATTTACCCATGGGAAAAACAGATTTGTTGAGAGAGAAAGTGGGTAGAGAGATAGTGGGTGGACATTTTTTTGCTCACCATTGAGAGTGGTCTTACAGCAGCCAGTAGTATTACCACATGTCCAAGCACTGATCCAACATCAACATATTTCGGTTGTATTTTGATTTTTCTTTTGATTGTTTTTTTTTAAATTTAAAATAATTATTTTAATTTATTTAAAAATTATATAAATATTCAAATACGGTTTGCTTTGGTTTATAATTTTTGAAAAACCAAACCAAACCGTTAACCGTATTTACAAAAAAACCGAAATCATACCATATGTTGTATATACTTGATTACTTGTCAAATCAGCTAGTCAGGTTTGTCATATGCCCATATAGTGATTAGTGTTATATATATATTCCTTAACGTCATTCGATATTATTGCAAGTTACTATGTGAGTAAAATCTCTCAAAACAGTATGTAGTTGCAACTGGGATTGATACAGATATATACTGTGCTGTTAGCTTTAACTTATGCAAAGCCTTTTCTCCTGCAGAAAAAAGTCAGACAGGTCGATCGATTATTGTAAATTTTACACTTGGCATTCTAGTGCTGATCTTGGTCGTTTTAGTCACTGTACTCACCTATCTTCAGTGTAAGAAAAGAAAGGAGAATAATGATGCCGAAAGCATCAGAAATAATAACAGCCAGAGAAGTCGTGCTCCAAATTTCTATAATGGTAAAGAGAAATGTCGTTTTTAAGATTAAAGACATCTTTTTATTATGCTTCAGATTATATCATATTGTTATTATTGTAATATGATCCTTGCTGCCCTTGTGATGCAATAGTTGGTGAAGATAATTTCATGACCGCAGAGTCTCTGCAACATGATTTTGCAACACTCAAATTTGCAACCAATAATTTTTCTGACGTTAACAAGCTTGGTGAAGGAGGATTTGGCATTGTTTACAAGGTACAGTATTATCATACAAATTCCATGAAAAATAAACAAGCATGTAATCATTCATTTTTTGAAGCAGGGAACCCTACCAAATGGACGAGAAGTAGCAGTCAAGAGGCTATCTACAGGTTCTCATCAAGGCGAAGAGCAATTTAAGAATGAGGTCGTGTTTGTTGCAAAGCTACAACACAAAAATCTTGTTCAGCTACTCGGATTCTGTTTAACAGCTAATGAAAAGCTGCTTGTCTATGAATTTGTCCGCAACACAAGCCTTGACGTGATTTTATTTGGTACTACTAGTTGAAAGAGCTCTGTATCAATTTTATCAATTATAACATACTTTTATTATGTGAGAAATAAATGAACTTATCGTATGCACGTACAGATCCTGAAAGACAAGGGCTACTAGATTGGTCTGCACGCTATAGAATTATACATGGCATTGCTCGTGGAATACTCTATCTCCATGAAGATTCTCGCCTTAAAATTGTTCATCGTGATCTAAAAGCCAGTAACATATTATTAGATTCTAATATGAATCCAAAAATCTCTGACTTTGGTTTAGCAAGAAACTTTGCAGTGAATCAGGAACAGGATCAGACGAACAGAGTAGCTGGAACATTGTAAGTTTTAGTTTTCTAGACTTAATTAGCATAACCTTCGAAGGTAGCAGCAACATCATAAGTTTTCATTTCCTTGGATTAGTATAAGATTTGATCCTTTGATGTTGTAATGTTTCGCAGCGGTTACATGGCTCCAGAATACATTGAATACGGCGAGATCTCCACCAAGTCGGATGTATACAGTTTTGGTGTATTGGTTTTGGAGATCATAACTGGCAAGAAAATTAGCAATCGCCAAACAACACTTGCTGAAAATCTCCTAACATATGTGAGCATATACAACGGATTACCAGTTGTACTTAAACAACAAATGTTTTCAAAAGGTCTGAAATATTTGCAACTTGTGCATATGTATAACAGGTTTGGAGGCACTGGAGAGAATTAACGCCGTTGGAAGCTGTAGATGCTTCTCTAGGAGATTCATATTCAAGCAGTGAAGTCGTTCGATGTTTGCACCTTGGCTTATTGTGTGTTCAAGGAGATGTAGAGGAAAGACCATGTATGTTATCTATAGTGTCTTGTCTTAACAGTAACTCTGATCTTCCAATGCCGCAACAACCAGCAGCATTCACGAGTAGTGTTCGAAAGGGGCCAAACTCAGGAACCAGAGAGCTGACTGATAGATCTACTAAATCTGGATCCAGCTCTCGAACCAGTGGGCAACAATCTGATAAATGTATAAGCAGATCAATTGATTCATTCTCTGGGATTGAATTTTCAAGTAATTAATGGAACAATTTAAAATGTGAAAAACAAAGAATTGGAGTCTTGTTTAGAGTAATGCTCAACTCAAAAGTTGTTTATTTTTACTTATTACGGAGTATAATGTAGTGTATTTTATGAACGATATTGTATTTTTGATGCAGTTAATGATTTCCTGAGACTGAATATATAGTAAAGAGTTTATTTTGTTCCAAAATGTTATTTCACAGATCATCTTATGTATAATTGTGGTTTACTCCATTTTTCATATATTCCAAATGTTATTTCACAGATCATCTTATGCATAATTGTGGTTTACTCCATTTTTCATATATCGATCTAGGGTTGTTGCACCATTTTATAACGTTATTTCAAATTAATTACTTGCAAAAACTCTCTAAAAGGATTGATCAACTATTTTAATGGAAAGAAAAAATTCCTCAATTACTTTGCTTATACCCTTCAAAAGGCAATGACCCACAATTAAAAATCGAATAACACATTATTACCAACTAACAAGCAATAAAATGGGGGAAAAAGTAAACTATTTTTCATAAAATTTTGTGTTGATAAAACCAAAACGACTAATATAAGACTAAGGGAGTATATTCTTTATCTCTCTGCAAATACTTTGCTTATACCCTTCAAAAGGCAATGACCCACGATTAAAAATCGAATAACACATTATTACCAACTAACAAGCAATAAAATGGGGGAAAAAGTAAACTATTTTTCATAAAATTTTGTGTTGATAAAACCAAAACGACTAACATAAGACTAAGGGAGTATATTCTTTATCTCTCTGCAAATACCAATCTACCATTGATCAGTAATCCAAAACTATGAATAAGAAAATACATATAACTTGTAATTTAAATGTTTAAATAAGCTAACACAAACATTGAGTTTTCTTAAAACCGATTGACCTACAAATAAATAAATGATCCCTTGTCTTAATTATTTTTTGTCTTATAAAGACAATAATACAGTAGATGCCAACAAGCTTAGTTAATTAAACAATGAAGAGCTTCATAATAGCACAGTATACCTTTAGCCTTTAGGTACGCATAGCTCCTGCACCAAAGAACTTGCACAGTACAAGAATTCATCATTGAACCAATTGAAACTCAATAAGTAGAAGTTTTTGAACTAAACGACAGCCGCATCGACTTGCTTGAGGATGCATCGATTTCGAGGTCCTTTATTTCAGCCCACGGTTGAAACTTGTTGCAAATAAACAGACCAGGTTCTTGAGGAGTAGCAAGTTCAGAATCACTATCATGATTGATAGTTTGATGTCTACTACAAGAGGGGGGTGAACTGTAGACTATAGAGAATAGTAAAATTTATGCGGAAGTAAACAAAGTATGAAAAGAGAGAATACACGAGATATGCTTTTCGAATTATTTCAATATGCAAAAACTCTTTTACAAATGTGAAGATTCGGCCTACACTTAAGATCCTCTAGGAATTCAAGTATCCCAACTACGGTCCCTCTACCACAGCTTAACTCTCATAGTGATTCGACTCTGAATCACTTACAACTTTGTCACAGACTCACTCAAGTCTCTCAGTTACAACTCTCTCAAACCCCAATCCCAATTACAAAAGTAATTACAAGACTTTTCTAATGCACTAGAGAAGATTAAAGCAGAAAGAAACTCAACACTCTTTTAAATTAAACGTGAAAGCTCTTAGGAAACTTAAGATCTCAGAACTAATGTTTTTCGTTGTTGTCTCTTGTTCTTTAAATCAAAATCTGTTGCATGCTTTTTATAGAGAGATGAGAAGCCACAACCATGTTCCCACTCCTCCCATGATCTCGCGTACACCTTAACTTTGAGAGTCAAAGTGAACGTTGAGGGAGTGAGGAATATGGTCTCCCTGACTTTTCTCTGAAGCATTCAACGTTGCTTCCTTAAAAATAGGTAACAACTTTTACTTAGTCTAATAATCAGCTAAAGATATTTATTATATAAAAAGATAAAACTTTAAATAATTATTTAATTTAAAAATAACAAACTTATCTTTTAATTAAACAATTATTTATCTTTTATTTACAGAAAATATATCTCTTTAAAAACTAATTTTATTTTATCCTTTAATTAAGGAATAAAAACTGATTTAAAGTCTTACATTTAAAACATTTTCTGATTAAAACATTAAGTTCCTTATTGAACACTAAGTTCCTTACTGAGTTCCTTTCTGCACATAAAAACTCGTGCTTACAGTGAATATCAAGACTTCCAATTCCTTTGCTCCTACTCTGAAACAGTTTGTTAACAACTGAATCTTTTCGTTCTACCAAGACTATCAAACATCATTAGTCGAAGTTTGTTTGTTTTGTCGATCATCAAAATACTAAGAGGGTCAACAATATTCTCCTTTTTGACGATGACAAACAAGAAAAACTCGGTAAACAAAATAATCATCAAGAGACTCAAAATAATAAACTAAGAATATAAAATCAAACAAAAACAAAGTTAAACAAAAATTCTGCATCATTCATGAAAATGTGAAAAATACTTTACCTTGATTTGCATGATGATTTTAATGAATACGGTTTGACTTGGCCTTGGCTGAGTTTGTCCTCCTCTTCCCCCTTTTAGCATTATCAAAATAAAAGAAAGAATACAAGCTATACATAGTACTACGCTACGGAAGGGGTAGTAAATCTGAATGCATGAATGATTAAGCATGCGCACATTGCAACCAACATGTAATACCAATTAGCAAGACAAACAGAGCCAGTTCCAAATATTACAAACCAAAAAAAAAATTGTTCAAGAAAAACTTAGAAAAGAAAAACAGAATCAATGTTCAAAATGAATTGCAAAATAGGCTAAGTAAGTTAGGCTTGGGCAGGGGGTTTTGTTGAGGCTGCAGTAGCATCTTCCTCTGTTACTTCTTCAAATGCGACCTCCTTGATGGTATCTAGGATGGTTTGATGACTCTGCTGCACTTCAGTCTTGAATGTTTGAGCTGTGGAGTTCATGTGAGCAATCAACCGGTCGTCCAGAGCAACTACATGATCATGAAGAGCTGTAACCTGGGCTGTGAGTTGCTCCAAGCCCGCCATCATAGCTGAGGTTGTGTCCCTGAATTCTTGGTGAAAGATTTGAACATCACAGGGACTAGGCCGTGGGGCGAAGGCTGCAAAGCCGAAGGTGGAAGGGAAAGATGCAGGCTGTGGTTGAGAAGGTGATGGAGTTCCTTTAGGAACATGAGGAGTTCCTTCAAAAACAGGAACTTTTGTAGTTTCAGCATCCAGATCAATGTGTATCGGGGAGATAGGCTTAGTTTTCTGTTTGGTTGCAATCCTGCTGCTCTTCCTCCTGACTCCTGTGACTGGAACTATCCAACGAGGTGGACTCCCCTCCTCCTCATCACTCAATGCAGCTGTACTCTTCTCTTCCTCTCTCTCACCTTGTTCCTCAACATATTCCCCCTCACTCAGTACTGTATCCTCTTCACGATCCCCTGCTCCTTCATTTTCAGATTCCGATTGTACATCGGAGGCAAAGCAAGTTTTCCCATTGACTACTTTTAGGTTCAATTTCAAGAAGGATTTTTCATAAAGAATGTTTTCGGGTTTCAGAGAGTAATTTTCAGCATTTGACAATGGAACCCCGAAACTTTGAAAAACAACCGAAAGTAGAGGACCATATGGAATATGAAGGTTTGGGATTCCAAGTGAGCAATCATCAAAGCAGGAAAGTTTATGCTTATTTTTTTTGCCAAACAGAAGATGAAGGAGGCATCTAAGAGGTTCATTGTGCTGCGGTTTTGAGAACGAGGAAGAACACCTCGCCACACTATGTTGAACAACAGTTTGTGGAGTGGGGTAAGCAAGTTATGGTTCGTTGTGGTGATTTTGGGATTTTCGCCAATGAAGGAGATAATCTCCGATTCATTATGACCATTGACGGAAATTCTGGGTTTGTTTTTGATGTAGGTTCGATGTCCTACATTAGGAACTTTAAATAATCTGGATAAATAAAGAGAATCAAAGGATAGTTCCTTATCACCAATTCTAGCAGTACATTCCCCATCAACACAATTAAACGTAGCACAAAACTCATCCATCAAATTCGGATAAATTGGAAACTTAGCACAAGATTCCATAAAAAACAACCAGTTTTGATACTCCAACAAATCCAAAATTTCAGAATACTTACTTGCCGTACACCATGCGTGATCAATTCCATAGCCTAGAAGAAATTTGTCCCGGCGAATTGGTCGGATCTTCTTCGTTGGAGAGGTGCGCTGTACCTTGCGTTTGTCGGACTTTTCCTTCAATGGTGGAGCTTTGCGTTTGGAAGGTTGCGATGGTGGATGATCGGTTGTTAACGGACCGGGTTCCGGGGATGAGTTCCGTTCGGTTCGGCGTTTGAAGGGATTTGAGTTCAGATTGGTTTTCATGGTGATGGGTTGAAGGTTAGAGAAGATGAATGTGGTGAAGTGGAGTTTTACGGTTGAGGGTTTGTGACGGTGGGGGTGTTTATGGGTGTTGGATGGTAATTGAGGAGATGAAGGTGGAAGGTTTTTGGTGAAGTGACGGGTAAGGGTGGAGTAATTGAGGTGAATTGAATTAAGGAGTGTGAGTGGAGTGGTGGAAGGGATGGGATGTGACGGTTGGGCTATAGGAGAAGTGAGCTTTGGTGTGTTTTAATTGTGGGTGGTTATTTACTTTTGCAATCTAAATTAAACAATGACTTAAATGAAGAAAAGATAAAATTTGTAGAATAAAAGGATAGTTAAAATGAACATAAGATAAAAATTAATGCTAAAGATAAGAACAAATATTTTTGTGATTTTGAATAAGAGATTAAAGATAATGAACAAAAATAAAATAGAAAAAAATAAGAAATATAAAATTAATTTTCCAGGAAATTACGTGAGGTCACTTTACAGAGGCTTGTACTATGTGCAAAGGAACTTGAAAACAACATGGCTCAATTTTTCTCACCCATTGACATAAACATATGATCACACACAAAATATATTTGCACACTCTCACATTGCATGATTCAAGATTATGTTTTTCACACCAAGGTTACATATAGTTGTGCTCAATCATTTTAGAATGACATACCTTGGGGTTAGATGGAGAGAAATTCAATTAAGCCTTATCATTCCGAGTTATAGTCGCATCTTCTCAAATTTATCTCTACGCAAGAGCTTAGTTAGAATGTCAGCAATTTGATATTCAGTTTGCACAAGGTCTAATCTTATTAAGCCCTTTTCTACATTGTCCTTTAGAAAATGATGCCTTACATGAATGTGTTTTACATGTGAATGATGTACTGGATCTTTTGAAATACAAATTGCACTAGTATTATCACAGTAAATTGGAACACATTCTAAAACTATGCCAAAATCACGCAGCTATTGTTTTATCCACAATAATTGTGAGCAGCATGCAACGGGAGCCACATATTCTGCTTCGGCTGTGGATAGAGCAACAGTATTTTGTTTCTTGGAACTCCAAGAAACTAGACAAGAGCCTAAGAATATGCTCATACCTGATGTGCTCTTGCGATTTACTAAATCCCCAGCATAGTCAGCATCAGCAAATCCATGAAGGTCAAATGTATCACTTCGTGAGTAGAATAAACTCAAATCATCCGTCCCTTTTAGATATCTCAAAATTCTTTTGACGGAAGTGAGATGCGATTCCTTAGTATTAGATTGGAACCTAGCACAGAGACCAACACTAAAGGAAATGTCAGGCCTACTCGCAGTTAGATATAATAGGGAACTAATCATACCTCTGTATTTTGTTTGATCCACACAAATTCCCAAGGGATCTTCATCTAGTCTAGTATTTGTGCCCATGGGTGTGTGGTTTATCTTTGCTGTTTCAAGGTTGTACTTCTTCAGAATTTCCTTGACGTATTTTTGCTGATGGATAAATATGCCTGTTTCAGTCTGTTTGATTTGCAGGCCGAGAAAGAAATTGAGTTCCCCCATCATACTCATTTGGAACTTGCTGCTCATCAACTCAGCAAAATGCTTACACAAATATTAGTTAGTTGCACCAAATATAATGTCTTCAATGTAAATTTGTACAACTAATAAATGAGTTCCTTTGGATTTTAAAAACAAAGTTTTATCAATTTTTCCTCTTTTAAAATCATTTTCAAGAAGGAACTTGGACAGTCTTTCGTACCATGCGTGCTCTTGGAGCCTGCTTTAACCCATAGAAAGCCTTGTCAAGCTTAAAGACATGGTTTGGAAAGTTCGGATTTTTAAATCCAAGAGGTTGTTCGACGTAAACAGTTTCTTTCAAAAGCCATTTAAGAGTGCACATTTTACGTCCATTTGATATAACTTGAAACCCATAAATGCAGCAAAAGAAATTAAAATTTGAATGGCTTCTAGTCTAGCAACAAGAGCAAAAGTCTCCTCAAAATCTATGCTTTCTTGTTAGTTATAGCCCTTTACAACCAATCTAGCCTTGTTCCTAACAATAGTTCCATATTCATCAAGTTTATTTCTAAAGACCCGTTTTAGACCTATGACCTTTTTATCTAACGGTTTAGGTTCAAGATGTCATACTTGATTTCGTTCAAATTCATTGAGTTCCTCTTGCATGGCAATGATCCAATCAGGGTGGTCTAAGGCTTCTTTGTGGTTCTGAGGTTCAATTGCTGACAGAAACGCGTTGAAGGCACTGAAGTTCCTCAGTTGAGATCTTGTCTGAGTTCCTCATTTAAAAATTGATTAACTGTGAATTCCTCATTTAAAATTGAGGAAGTAGTTAATTTTATTTTATTTTATTTTTTTTAAAAAAGAGGGATAAATTATGGATGTTTTTATAATGGTCGTTTGAAATATAACTAGCATATTATTTTAGTGATAAATAATATGCTAGTTATAATTATTGAAAATTTTACATTATAACATGGACACAATTATTCTGCTAATATCTACATTGCAAGTATAATTATTGAAAATTTCAATCCAATATAAAATAAATATTTTTCGAGAAACTATAAAATTTTAATTAAAGATATGATAAATAAATAAAAAATTGATGATACTTAATTAAGTAATATAATTTATTAATTGGAGAAAAATATGTCAATCATTAAAACATTATGGTAATCATATTATTAAGGAAAATTTGAAAAATACCACCAACTATTGTTCACGTTTTAGTAATTACCACCTCAAGTTTTAATTTTTTACATTACCACCTACTTTTTTAAAAAATAAAATATAAAATAAATTAAAAAAAAAAAAAAAATTTCCACCTCTTTTCCCAAACACCCGTGGGCCCCACTACCAATTGTACCTCTCTTTTCCCTTTCTCACCTCTGTTCTTCCTTCTTCTTCCTCTAAAATGTTAAGGAAAAAATTGTCCCTCTCTTTTCTCTCAACTACTATAAAATTTCACTAAATTATAAGCATATATGGTGTATCATAATTCTTCATGAAATATTAAAGATATATAATTTGTCGATTGTATGAAAGTTTTTGCTTTAGCCAAATTCCAATACTACAATCAATGCTATTTTGCCCTTTTAGGATAGAGTAAATTATGAACACCAGCAATTCAGTAGGAGTGTGGAGGATCATCATCCCACATGCCACACTGCCAAAACCTAGTACTATAATGTTTGTTGCGTAAGATATGAGGCATGATTCAACAAATCTAGCTGCAAAAGAGGATTCTTATCATCTAGACATATTCTCCGTCTTCATTCAATAAACAACTATATATTGTACTAGTTACAAAGATAATTTATCTACCTGGGGCTCATCTCACTAGTTGTTACTTGATTATGTGTGTATGGCATTGAGTCACGAGAGGTCGATGCTGTTGAATGTTGATTTGACCTTATACTGCTATTGTGAAAAGATCGAGGGCATCGAGGTGTCGAAATTGTACTAGTAGCAGAGTTTGTGTTGAGCACGTAGGCTACTGTTGACATGGTTGGCCTCTCATGTGCATTTTCTTGTACGCATAATAAGCCTAACTTAATGCATCTTACGACTTCATCTATTATGTATGAATCTCTCAATGTTTGATCCATAAATAACAAAGGCGTATTATCTTTCCAGCTTCTCCATGCCTAGGACAATGAGATGGCAAATATTGAGTAAATACAATATGGACTAAATATCAAAAAGATATATAACTGAACTTACAAAGTTAAAGAGATCTCCGTCTACATCCGAAAAAAGTCTGCTATTGATTTTCTTGCCACTTACAATCTCCAATAACAACACACCGAAGCTGTACACATCTGACTTTATTGAGAATTGTCCATGCATTGCGTACTCTGGGGCCATATAACCACTAGGATACATTGAAAGCAATTATGCAATATGAAAAAACATAGATAATGTTTGGATTCTTGAACGTTCGTTTTATGTATTTAATTTTTGAATAATTGGATATGGAACTTCGATTAGGGGGCAAGAGAATAAATTATGGCATCAAATACTATTTCTAATACTTTTCATAGATAAAAGCAATAAATTGGCTAAAAATATAAGAACTTACAATGTTCCGGCTATCATACTTGTGGCATCCTCTGTTTGTTCAACTTCGAAGATCCTTGCCAAACCAAAATCCGCAATTTTTGGGTTCATATTGGCTTCGAGCAAAATATTTGCCGCTTTTAGGTCTCGGTGAATGATCCTAGGCCGAGAATCTTCATGAAGATAAAGCAATCCTCGAGCAATGCCTATTATAATATTGTATCGTGTAGGCCAATTCAGTTGTCCTTGCTTACTCGGATCTATGAGATATTTGAATGGTTCATGATAAGAGTTAGAAATAGTATAATTACTCATCCAATAATAATAAAATTAAAAATAAAAATAAAAAAATCAACTATGTAGACCATATTCTTGAACATCTAAATTGGACATACCAAACAAGATAATGTTGAGGCTTTTGTTAGGAACAAATTCGTACACAAGAAGCTTCTCCGTTTCTGTTATGCTAAACCCCAACAACCGTACCAAATTTTTGTGTTGAAGCTTGGCTATCAGTATGACTTCATTCTTAAATGCTTCCATTCCTTGGTTGGAAATCCTTGTTAGCCTTTTAACTGCTATATCTTGTCCGTTTGGGAGGGTTCCCTAAGACGTACACACATATATAAGCTACATACGCGAACATAAAACAGAACCTTTTGATGCAGATTTGGTAAAACTAAATAAGCTGTTTTTAGATAATAATGATTACGCTCGAGTTAATAAGGTGTACTTCTCAATAAATCTGCTACTCTCTTCGTGTTTAAATAAGTGTTACACTTACTAATAAATACGGCCGTATTTTAATAAGTGTTACACTTTCATTTTTGGCAAAAAGCTACATTTTAAATTTTTAATTAATACTCTGTATTAGATCTTTCTCCTTTCATGGTCCCCATCCAAACCCAATACTACTTTTTTTTTATTATTTATTTCCTCTTACATTTATTACTTTTCAATAATATATTAACATCACTATCTTCCTTTTACAAATTTTTTAATACTCCAACTACCCCGGCCCACTTACCTTTAATTTTATTTAAATGAATGAAATTGCCTAAAACTATGTATCGGTTAAATTGTAATAACACTTACTAAAACAAGGAAAGAATACCTTATAGACACTACCGAATCCTCCCTCACCAAGCTTATGATAATAGGAAAAGTGGTTAGTGGCAGCTTGAAGTGTCCCCAACTCGAACATCAATGACTCTGCATTTATGAACTCCTCAAGCGCTGGAGCACATAAAAGAGATTAGATTCGCACATTAAATGCTATGTTCTAGACTTCTAGCTGACGATCGGGCATAAGTAATTAAGAGAATTGCCAAAAAACAAAAATTTAAATAAGAGAGAATTACCATTTCTGATGTCTAAAGATGGGTACTTCTTTGCCTTCCGACGAAAGAAATATGTGCACAAGGATATCATTAACAACACGACAGCAAGTGGCACAACAATTGCAACTACTTTAGTTACAAATTCATTCTTATTTCCTGCAAAAGCAAGAAGTTGAATATTATTCCATAGTGTTGTGCGACAGCGGAAGCAAAGATCGAAACAATAACGAAAACAATAAAGAAATTCAATGCAAACAATAAGAACACACACCAAGAATTAACGTGGCTCACTATCAATGTGATAGCTACATCCACGGGCACCGAGATCAAAGTTTTCACTATAAACTGCAAAGATTACAAAGATGAATCAAGTCTTTCTCTTCCATGGTTCTCACTCTGTCTCTCTTAACCCTAATACTGATATTAGGAAGTTTTTATATTAATCTCTAATTAAAAGATACTTGGGCGAAAAGATAATAATTAAAAGATAACTTAAACCGCAAAAACGCGTTTCCGTCAAGTTCCTTCTCCGCCCGGTCAGACCGGGCAAGGTCTGCCCGATCGGGCGCGAGAAGCGAATCTCCAAACAGGCGCTTGACGAAGTCTACCCCCACCGCCCGGTCAGACCGGGCAAGGTCCGCCCGATCGGGCGCGTGGGGTTTGCCTTGAGCTGCCATCGTACATAACTCTACCCTCACCGTCCGGTCAGACCGGGCAAGGGCTGCCCGATCGGGCAGTGAGTGTTCTTCTTGGCTGCTACAATCTGACTTCCAATCTTCACCGCCCGGTCCGATCGGGCACGGTCCGCCCGATCGGGCAGTGAAGATTTCAGCGATTCGAGTCACTTACTCAACACATAGTGACTAGCTAAGTCCATTCTCAAGTTTGACTGTATTTCCCTTCAAAATAAAAAAAATAAAAAAAAGTTTGACTGTATTTATAAATCATGAAAACATTATGGTAACAAAAAGTTCATGTATGGTAAATGGCTTTTCACTGGCTTTTGATTGACTTTATATTTAATCAAACAGACAAAAAACGTATTTGGTAAACGAGATTTCTGCTCAAGATTAGCTCTTTGGTTTTGGCTTTTGGCTTTTCATTAATAAAATTACTTTTTTTTTAATCCTTACTTTATTAATTATTAATTAAGAATAAAAAGGTAATTATATTAATGAAAAGACAAAAGCCAAAATAAAAAAAAACGAGTAAGACTATTACATTCATATCTTAAGCTTATGGAGCATTAAGATATACATATATCTTAAGAAAACACATAGATATGTCTTAATGCATATGTATATGTTTTCTTAAGATATATGCATGAACGTTAACATATTATTTCGGCTATAAATGTCTTCAATCATCTATAAGCAAAAACTATAATAATTCAATATTGAGAATAGTAATATTATAATGGATTTAACAAAACCTCACATATAACCTTTTTTTTTTTTTGAAAGTAAATCACAATATAAAATCAAAATAACTTACCTAAGTAAGTGAAAAGTTATGATGGAGCATAAAGGTGGGATAGAGGAAATGACCAAATGTAATCAAATTAAAGGAACGAACGAAAAACAGAAAACGTGACAAACTTAGGATTTGTTTGGTATCGCTGTGCTTTTTTAGTTTTTTTTTTTTCAAAATTATATTATATATTTCACATAATGAATAAAAAAATGGTCAAACTTATTAAAATGATAATTTTGAAAACTGATAACTGAAAAGTGAATATAGCTTTTTCTTGTTTTCTTTTTTTGATTTAATTTTTTGTTTTCAAATAATCAGAAAGCTGAAAACAAAAAACGATGTCGAACAAGCTCTTACCTTTTGTAACTGACCTAATAGGGGGAGTTGATGACAACATTGGCGTTGGTGGTGGCGACTGTAGTTGTGATGCCGGTGGTGGTGGTGGTGACCGTGGTGGTGGTGATGGAAATGGTGGAGGTGGTGGTGGTGGTGACCGTGGTGGTGGTGGTGCTGGTGGTGGTGATGGAAATGGTGGAGGTGGTGGTGGTGGTAGTCGTAGTAGATTTGGTGGTGCACGTGAACGATCCATGGTATCCGACAACCCTTGCTTCAATTCCTTAATGTAATTTATTGGGATTAAAAGTAATAGCGATTCAATAAATAATCAAATACGGGGTACAATTAATATCAAAATATATGTAAATGCTTGTATAGAGAATTAGAGATAATAATCATACTCTAATAGTAGATAAGCTTATAAGCCTCCTAGGTACATTAACTACTTCAGACATAAATGGCCCAAATTAAACCATGGATATGTATTGTCAAGTTTTTTATCACTATGCCTAAAAAAAAAAGCTCCTTATCACACTACTAGAGCCACAATTTGAAGCGAAGACTTTTACACATTGACCTCAAGTCAGCCAACAGGACAAAACATAGTGCAGGTCATGTGACTCATTCTACAACCTTTTATTTGTCGATAGCTGGTGCTTTTTCTACCACTTCAAATTCAAAGGGTTCTCATGTGAGACAAATGTGATAAAATATATAAGTCGATCTTGAGGTTCAACCATTAGTTTAAATTTTATGTCTTATCAATTCCTAAAATCGTCTCGACGCTTGACGCTCGGCTTCGACGCTCTAAGCTCAAAATCTGACGTCTTAATTCGTAAAGTCCTTATTGACGTATTTAATCCTTCAAATTCGTCGTCTTTGTTCGATTATACGATTGGGTGTGATCCGTAGGGTTCAGTCAAGAGTAAGTTGTAAGATTAATTATATTAATTTTACTGATCGGAAGCGGCCTCTAGCTAGGCATTCCGATCACTTAACCTCACTGAATAATTAACTTTACTGATTAATATTGAATCCTCTACGAAATAATTTACTTATTCGAAAGACACCATTCATTTCAAGTTGAACTCATATGTCCCACCAAATTTACTTGAACGGTTGATCCACAACAACCCTAAAAGTTTATGGGCTTTATAAGTCTAGTTATTTGAGCCATAGTGTCTGCTACAGATGTAATCTATCTCATCTTTCTCCATGTTGGTTGACTTGGGGTCAATTTTCAATCTTTTATTAGCCTCAAGTTGTTGCTCTTTTCAGATGTAGTTATTGTTTGTCAAAAATAAAAGTTTTTTACTTATAAAAAAAAATCGCATTTTATAAGTACAGTGTAACACTTAAAAATTAAATAGTAGTTTTATTGTCTTCTAAGAAAACTGTAATGATAATAATGTAGTCAAGTATTTTGTCAAAAAAAATGTAAGCAAGTATTAGTGTTGTAATACTTTCTAGATTTCTTTTTAGTCGACACGTTTTTTTAGTCGCGTTTACGAATGCACAATTTCAACCATTTATATCTTTAATTACCGATAAACAAAAATTACGAAAATTTAATATTTTAAAAATATATATCGTGACGAATCTAACAAGATCACACATGACTATATATATTTTTCATTACGTATAAAACACAAAATACGATCAAAGGAGAATGTGTGAATAGTGCTAAAGTCAAAGCGTGTCAATTAAAAAAAAACTGAGGTAGTATTGATTATCTTTCCAAAAATTTAAACATATAAAATTGTAAACTAGCAGTCACATGCAATAATTAATTAATGTTGGACAGTAGAAACTACAATCCAACAGCAATAGAACATTCAACGTTGTTGTCTTAAATGACGAAGAGTAGAGATATTTTATTGCTGGATTACAATAATTCGATACTGATATGTATGCACAAACCCAAATATCTCCACAGTCGCCAATTGGCATAAAAAGAGCGGCAGCATTTTTTGGATCCTGCTGGCTTGAGAGCTACGAGTAATCAACTACGGAGCACTCTTTAGTGCTTGTTTGGTTCAACGTGAAAAATAAATTTCCACACGAAATTAACTTATCTGGAAGGGCTTGGTAAGTTATTTCCCATGTTATGCGGAAATTTACATTTTTCTTGAAAATTTCATTTCCTAGCAAATTTTTAACCAAACACAACATATTTTAGCTATTGCCTAGGAATTTCCATTTTCAAGGCCAAAATTATTTTCCTTGGAGATTTCACAAACAACATAGTTACTTACCTCAATAAACGACGATTTCATAGAGTTTGGAATCAGATCGAATAAAATTATGTGTATGTGTTTAGTACTTCATTCTTAATATCATGCGTTTAAAGTTAAATATTTATGATCAAAGTTATATCTCGATTAATATGTCGGTCACAATAATACAAATATTAAAAAACAAAAAAAGGGAGTATGGGTTTTACACATTCTAACTCATTAACCATTAATCATACCTAGCAGGCTAGTAAGGTACAACCGATGGTAAAATTTGCTCATTTGATTTAAATGAACAAAACTTGTATTACGGTCTACGGAGTATGAGTTAGTGACACAACTTTGCTAATTTCTATTTAAATGAGTAAAACTAATGTTTGTTTATAAAGTGAAAAACATTATTTGGGTAGATTTTTGTTTTTTAAAATAAGAAAAAGTTAAAAAGAATAATCCCATCTTTGACACATCTTCTCAAAATAATCCAATCTTTGCATATTTCAGAAATAATCCCATCTTTATACCCCATATTCTCAAAACAAGCCTTTTACTTGTTGGTGAAATTAATAACTTGTTTAGAAGGTCTTTTGCCACGTGTCGTCTTCTGATTGATTTTTGTTATTTTTTTAAATAATAAAGAAATAAACAAAAACATTAATAATCCTTAGCTTCTTCTTCCTTACCATGTCGGAGCTCCCTCCCTTGCCGGACCCAACCGCCCCCGGAACAGCCGCCCTCCTTGATTCCCTCCCCTTCCCACTTCCCCTTCCCCGATTCGCTCCCCTGCCGGACCGATGCCGCCAAACCCAACCGCCGATTCTCTCTCCTGCCGGACTTAGAATTTACCCTTGGTGTGTCAGGTTGACTTCTCGTTGGTAGGCCGCCCGAACGCCGAGGAACTCCGATTCGATCCGCCGGGGCGCGTTGATCGAGTTCTTGGCCGGAAAAATGTCTGAATCCCCTCACCGTCGGGACTATACACAACACATGAACGAGGTTTCGATTCAGGTGGGTTTCGATCTGGAGGTTAAGAGGGGACTTGGGATGGGGATTGGTCATGGCAGCCCCTTCCCCGACAATTGAAATTGAAGGTGAATCACCGAAAATTGTCAAATTATGCCGTTGAAATGCTCGGAAAACAGAGCATCGATCTATGGAATAACAACAAAGACGGAAAAATGCCGTCAATAATTGAGAATTGGTTATGAAACACGGTTGTCGTTTCGAAACCTTGGAGCTTGACAAAACGGAATCAATGGCGGATGAATTCTCATCGTTTCATCTCCGCACTGCTATGCTGACCGTTGAGATCAGGTAGGGGATAGGGATGGTGGCTATTCAGGAGAGTTGTGGGATTTAGGTGGGCGTGGCTCAGGTGGCGGGGCGGGGCTGAGGTTGCATCTCAGGTGGTCAGTTTGGTGGTTATGTTGGGAAGGTGGTAAATTTAGTGGTGATGGTCATGGTGGTTGAATGAAGGTAGTGAGGTGGAAAAAGAAGATTAAAAAAAAAAAATCTGTGAAACAGGTTGAAGGTAAAAAAACTAGTTTTGAAAATATGGGGTGTTAAGGTGGGATTATTTTTGGAATACGCAAATGTGGGATTATTTTGAGAAAATGTGCCAAAGGTGAGATTATTCTTTTCAATTTTTCCTTAAAAAAAATCATGTATGGAACAATTATATAAGAATTAACAGGGGATTAATTGCAATTTACAACCCATTAAACACCCTATTTTAATTTAACCACTCATTTTTTTAAGAATTGGAAATGCTTCATTTGGTGTATGTAATGCAAACTGAGGTAATTTTTAATACGTAAAACGAGATATTTCCAACAACTTATTTCAATTCGAACTTCAAATCAAATCCAAAATGCCAAAATGATCTTCGAAACCTTAATACAACAAGTTTTGACACGAAAATCGTTGTTTTTATTTTAATAATTGGAACATATGGTAGTTTCCTCGATACTAGAGTTAGAGCAAAGACTTGTAAAGTTGACCCAAAATTGACTCTTAGTCAATTAGACCTAATAATACGGGTCAATTATAAGGCCCACCGGCCCAAAGTAGTCAATATTGCTCAGCTTGTTTGCCATATTCTCGCGGCATAAGATAAAAATCTCGGTCAAAATTCTCATTTTCTGTGCAATACTAATTTATCAAAATGTTATTCGTCATTAATCATTCAAAGCTACATCTCTATTCATCTCTTGTTTTTATTATCTTTAGTTCAAGGTTTATCATTAGTGAACCAAAGAATACCCTTGTTACTTCTGAATGCTATCACGACAAATTCACATTCGAAGCCTCATTTTCGAGCAACCTCAACAAGTTGTTATCTTCGCTGCCAGAAATTGCAGGCCAAAGCATCAATAATGGATACAATGCCACAAATTCGGCAGACTTGGCTGCATTTGATTCGGAGAAAGTCTATGTCCTATTCCTATGTCAAGGTGATGCAACTTCTGATGATTGTAAAGGCTGCGTGTCTGATGCAGCTGATAAAATTCAGAGCCAGTGTCCGAATGCCAAAAGAGCGGTAATTTGGTATGATACATGCATGGTTCGGTACTCCAACACGTCTTTTCTTGGGGATGTGGATGAGAATATTCAACTTGGTTTGGCAAACACCGAATACTTCGGGACTGATGTTAACAAGTTCATGAATTTGACGGGTAATACCTTGTACGATTTAGCTTCTAAACTGGGCAAATCCGAGGATAATCCTAGGTTGTTAGGGGTAGGAGACAGGAAATACTACTTAACTAAAGGTGATGTTGTTTTTAATAGTTTGATAAAATTATATACTAGAGCTCAATGCACGCCTGACCTTACTGCAATGAACTGTCAGAAGTGTCTTACCATTATGCTTACTAAGATGGCCACTTATTGTAATGGGAGCAAGGGTTGTCAGATGATGAATCCTAGCTGCAATACACGGTACGAGGTCTATCGATTTTATAAGGATATAGCCTCACCAGTGTCACCACCACCTGTTGCGGCATTGTCACCACCGCCAAGGACAACACCGCCACCTCCTGTGAAGGGTACGTAATTATTTTCTTACACATGTTCCCTAATATATACTTACTTCTAATGCAACTAAGATCAATTTTTAAAGTTGAGTCATGCTAAATTATTATGTCCACACGAATCCAAATCTGAATCAGATATTTTTCAGGTCGGTTTTGGATCCTTTTGACACCTCTAGACTTAATACTTGATATATGTGACATTTAATCATTATTTTTCACTATATTTTTTTTTAATGGAAAGTTAATAGTGTTTCTAAGTTGTCTCGATACTCTAACGATAATTTTGATAAAAGAATCTAGGTCACACTCGTCACAAATATCTAAAGAGGTTCCACCTCAAAACCATATGGAAATGAGATGAGTAGCCCCTTAGCCTTTCTTTTCACAATCACCGCATAACTAACACCAAAATTAAAAAAACATTGTGAAACAAGGAGTGACATAATAATATCACGTACTGTGGTACTTGGTAGTTTGTAGGGCCGGTAATAAATACAACAAAAACCAAAAAGAAAGGAACAACTACTGCTTAGCTGGCTGGGTCAAGTAATGTGATAAAATCTTGTCGTCATTTATTGAGGTTAGTAATTATATATGTTGGAGAACAACGTCATAAACTAAGGTGTGCTCCGTAGTTGATTAGTCGTATGGTAGCTCTCAACTTCTCAAGCCTGTGGAACCAAATTTTGCTGGCATACATGAAGTATCATGATTGTGGCGTTATTACATGGGCGACCTCCATTTAATTGACATGTGATCCAACTATGCAAGTCAAGAAGGATGTGTCATGAGTTTGCTTTAAGTACAAAACCATTCCATTCGATAGTCTACAACTATCAATATGTTCCTGTAAAATTAATCTCAATATTAATTTTATGTATTTTTCATTCATAATAATCAACCACACTATAATAATAATGTATATATAGACAATACGAATACTCGGAGAGCAAGCACTATATTTCCCTAGTTATCTTAACTATACATAAAGTATATCACATTATTTAACATATATCTTTATTTTCACAAGATATTCTCTAAAATAATATCACAATCATATCTCTATACTCAATTATATCTCATAATATTAGACTTAGGGGTGAACACGGTCTGGTTTGGTGCGGTTTAAGTCCAAACCAAACCAAATCGCAAAATTCAACTTGGTCAAATTTTCAAACCAAACCAAACCATATTAGTATTGAAATCGAACCAAACCAAACCGTAATAATGCGGTTTGGTGCGGTTTGGTTTGCGGTTTATGATGAGACGTCATTTTTCCCTAAAAATTGCCAAATAATACATCATTAACTTATAATAAAGTTTAAATAATTAGCCCAAACGTATTAAAATTGTATTACAAATTTACAATAAAAATAACAATCTAAGTGCTAACACATAATACAATAATCAATTTATCATCATAAATTCATAATACATTATAGTCATTATTATTATTTATACAACAAATTGGCAGCAACATGACAATATTGATAACATTAAGGGCTTAGAGCACTATCAATGGTGAGCTAAAAATTTGCTCATGCGCATTTTGGGTGGGCATAAAATTTGCTCATGCATTACAATGGTGAGCAAATGAGAAAAAGCTAAAAAATGCTCATGAGCATTTCTGAAAATGCCCAAGACTTGAGCATTTTAGAAGATGAATAGTGCTCTGGTGGGCCCCACAACTTGCAATAGTTATATTTTTTGTAATGCAAATTCTGAAATAAATATTTATTAAAAAAAAAAATTAAAATTACCAACGGTCATAAAATTTAATTCTCTATAAATAGACATGCATTTTGGTATATTTTGGTATAATTTCAGAAATACCATAAATCCTTCATATTCTTTATTTTAACGATAAAAACGACACAAATAAAAAAAAAAAGTTACACAAATTTAGACTAGTTTTTATTTATTTGGAGTAATATTGTTAAAATATAAATGAAATTAATAAATAAAGAAGTGTTGTGTAGGAGAGAGAAAGTAATGGTGGGGTATTGAAAAAGTAAGAGAGAGAGAGTAGTGGGCAAGCATTTTTTTTTTGCTCACCATTAGGAGAGAAATTGTGAAAAAAATTTACCTATGGGAAAAACAGATTTGTTGAGAGAGAAAGTGGGTAGAGAGATAGTGGGTGGGCATTTTTTTGCTCACCATTGAGAGTGGTCTTACAGCAGCCAGTAGTATTACCACATGTCCAAGCACTGATCCAACATCAACATATTTCGGTTGTATTTTGATTTTTCTTTTGATTGTTTTTTTTTAAATTTAAAATAATTATTTTAATTTATTTAAAAATTATATAAATATTAAAATACGGTTTGCTTTGGTTTATAATTTTTGAAAAACCAAACCAAACCGTTAACCGTATTTACAAAAAAACCGAAATCATACCATATGTTGTATATACTTGATTACTTGTCAAATCAGCTAGTCAGGTTTGTCATATGCCCATATAGTGATTAGTGTTATATATATATTCCTTAACGTCATTCGATATTATTGCAAGTTACTATGTGAGTAAAATCTCTCAAAACAGTATGTAGTTGCAACTGGGATTGATACAGATATATACTGTGCTGTTAGCTTTAACTTATGCAAAGCCTTTTCTCCTGCAGAAAAAAGTCAGACAGGTCGATCGATTATTGTAAATTTTACACTTGGCATTCTAGTGCTGATCTTGGTCGTTTTAGTCACTGTACTCACCTATCTTCAGTGTAAGAAAAGAAAGGAGAATAATGATGCCGAAAGCATCAGAAATAATAACAGCCAGAGAAGTCGTGCTCCAAATTTCTATAATGGTAAAGAGAAATGTCGTTTTTAAGATTAAAGACATCTTTTTATTATGCTTCAGATTATATCATATTGTTATTATTGTAATATGATCCTTGCTGCCCTTGTGATGCAATAGTTGGTGAAGATAATTTCATGACCGCAGAGTCTCTGCAACATGATTTTGCAACACTCAAATTTGCAACCAATAATTTTTCTGACGTTAACAAGCTTGGTGAAGGAGGATTTGGCATTGTTTACAAGGTACAGTATTATCATACAAATTCCATGAAAAATAAACAAGCATGTAATCATTCATTTTTTGAAGCAGGGAACCCTACCAAATGGACGAGAAGTAGCAGTCAAGAGGCTATCTACAGGTTCTCATCAAGGCGAAGAGCAATTTAAGAATGAGGTCGTGTTTGTTGCAAAGCTACAACACAAAAATCTTGTTCAGCTACTCGGATTCTGTTTAACAGCTAATGAAAAGCTGCTTGTCTATGAATTTGTCCGCAACACAAGCCTTGACGTGATTTTATTTGGTACTACTAGTTGAAAGAGCTCTGTATCAATTTTATCAATTATAACATACTTTTATTATGTGAGAAATAAATGAACTTATCGTATGCACGTACAGATCCTGAAAGACAAGGGCTACTAGATTGGTCTGCACGCTATAGAATTATACATGGCATTGCTCGTGGAATACTCTATCTCCATGAAGATTCTCGCCTTAAAATTGTTCATCGTGATCTAAAAGCCAGTAACATATTATTAGATTCTAATATGAATCCAAAAATCTCTGACTTTGGTTTAGCAAGAAACTTTGCAGTGAATCAGGAACAGGATCAGACGAACAGAGTAGCTGGAACATTGTAAGTTTTAGTTTTCTAGACTTAATTAGCATAACCTTCGAAGGTAGCAGCAACATCATAAGTTTTCATTTCCTTGGATTAGTATAAGATTTGATCCTTTGATGTTGTAATGTTTCGCAGCGGTTACATGGCTCCAGAATACATTGAATACGGCGAGATCTCCACCAAGTCGGATGTATACAGTTTTGGTGTATTGGTTTTGGAGATCATAACTGGCAAGAAAATTAGCAATCGCCAAACAACACTTGCTGAAAATCTCCTAACATATGTGAGCATATACAACGGATTACCAGTTGTACTTAAACAACAAATGTTTTCAAAAGGTCTGAAATATTTGCAACTTGTGCATATGTATAACAGGTTTGGAGGCACTGGAGAGAATTAACGCCGTTGGAAGCTGTAGATGCTTCTCTAGGAGATTCATATTCAAGCAGTGAAGTCGTTCGATGTTTGCACCTTGGCTTATTGTGTGTTCAAGGAGATGTAGAGGAAAGACCATGTATGTTATCTATAGTGTCTTGTCTTAACAGTAACTCTGATCTTCCAATGCCGCAACAACCAGCAGCATTCACGAGTAGTGTTCGAAAGGGGCCAAACTCAGGAACCAGAGAGCTGACTGATAGATCTACTAAATCTGGATCCAGCTCTCGAACCAGTGGGCAACAATCTGATAAATGTATAAGCAGATCAATTGATTCATTCTCTGGGATTGAATTTTCAAGTAATTAATGGAACAATTTAAAATGTGAAAAACAAAGAATTGGAGTCTTGTTTAGAGTAATGCTCAAACTCAAAAGTTGTTTATTTTTACTTATTACGGAGTATAATGTAGTGTATTTTATGAATGATATTGTATTTTTGATGCAGTTAATGATTTCCTGAGACTTAATATATAGTAAAGAGTTTATTTTGTTCCAAATGTTATTTCACAGATCATCTTATGTATAATTGTGGTTTACTCCATTTTTCATATATCGATCTAGGGTTGTTGCACCATTTTTGTTATAACGTTATTTCAAATTAATTACTTGCAAAAACTCTCTATAAGGAATGATCAACAATATTAATGGAAAGAAAAAATTCCTCAATTACTTTGCAAACACTTTACTTTCTAAATTTTAAAACAACCTTAAGAGGGTTCCAACTTGGCTTATACCCTTCAAAAGGCAATGACCCACGATTAAAAATCGAATAACACATTATTACTAACAAGCAATAAAATGGGAAAAAGTAAACTATTTTTCATAAAATTTTGTGTTAACAAAACCAAAACGACTAATACAGGACGAAGGGAGTATATTCTTTATCTCTCTGCTACCAAATACCAATCTACCATTGATCTGTAATCCAAAACTATGAATAAGAAAATACATATAACTTGTAATTTAAATTGCCCCACCAGCAGTGCCACCTCCTTCACCACTGCCCCATCACCGTGCCATTTCGACCCACCACCACAACACCCCAAACCGCCACAAAACATCCCAAAAACCACCCTCAAGCATCCCCAAAACCAGGCCAACACAAGCCCTTGCTCACTCCTTCGCAATTCCTTATCGCACTTTCGCAGCCATCACTGCACCACCACACTCCCCTCTCTACCTCCTGACGCCATACCTCGCTGCCGCCCATCTCTCGTCTCACCTCAATACCCAGCCACCAACACACCAACAAACAGTAGCCTCATCAACTGCCATTCAAGCGTATAGCGCAGCAACAAAACCCACCGACATTAGTTCTAGCGATTCAGCCCACAACATTAGCAACAAATAATTAAAAGAAGGTGAAAATGTGTATGTTGGTGGGAAATTAATTAACCCACGTCATTTTACCTAGCTGCCAATTTCAGCCACCAACACCTCAAAGACCCAAAATGCTTATTCTCAAATTGAAGATGAGGAAGGGGAAAAAACGCAAGGGAAGGAGAAATTAAGGGATATAAGGATGAAATTGGGATGTTGGGCACTAAATAGGGGAAAAAAAGGGTGAGGATTTGGTTAATTTAAAATTATGTGATTGGTCGAGGGTGATCAACGCCGGAAAAATTAAGTCAATGACGAAAACCCGGCGAAACATAGTTTCTTACAACATTTTTTATTTTAATAGGTAGTTTATTACAACATTTTTATTTTAATAAGTAGTTTCTTACAACATTTTTTTTAATAGGTAATTTATTACAACATTTTTATTTTAATAAGTAGTTTCTTACAACATTTTTTTTATTAGGTAGTTTCTCACAAAAATTGCTTTTAATTGGTAGTTTCTAACAAAATGTCCTTGATCAAATCGAAATTTAAACAAATAAATCTAGAGGAATAATTTCTTGTACTCGCATATGTAAGAAGTTGTTCGCTTGTCCTCGATTGTTGAAAATTGATGCCCTTTCTGCCACTTACAATCTCCAAAACTAGTACTCCAAAACTATAAACATCTGATTTTAGCGAAAACTCACCGCTTAGCAAATATTCTGGGGCCATGTAACCGCTCTAAAACAAACAATATTCCATTAAGCCAAGCACATAAATAAAACCACCTTAGCTTCCCTTCACTTGAACTAGCCAAAGGCTGTCTTTGACCTTTAGCCAATTTACGCGTAAACCTAGGACTTTTGTAAATAAAGGGAAGATATATGTATGTGTAATTATTCTGAACTTGTTAGTTATGAATTTTATCTTTCTTCATCAAATTTATTAAGAAAACATATTGAAGATAACATACAATGTTCCCTCGATCCTGTTTGTGTTGGCTTGGCTTTCATCGACGTTAAAGTGTCTTGCTGAGCCAAAGTCACATATTTTTGGATTCATGTCATTGTCTAAGAGTATATTGCTAGCCTTAAGATCTCGATGTACAATTCTTAACCGAGAATCTTCATGTAGATAAACCATCCCTCGAACAATGACAATTATAATCTTGTAGCGTGTTGGCCAATCCAATTCTTCTTGTCTTTTGGGATCTGTAACCAAAAAAAACCTAGTTAACATGACATAAGTTAATATTATTGGTGTTCTTTTGTTTTGTTTATTTTTACTCATACCAATAAGATGAAGTCGAGGCTTTTGTTGGGAACAAGTTCGCACACAAGCAACTTCTCGTATGCAGCCAAACAAACTCCTAGCAACCGGACAAGGTTCCTATATTGGAGCTTGGCTACAAATACCACCTCATTCATAAATTGCTCTACACCTTGATTAGAACACACAGATAATCTCTTTACTGCTATTTCTTGTCCATTAGGAAGTATACACTGATACATGCAAAATGTTACACGTAAAATATGTTAAATTTTCACAAAATTAAAGTTCCTTGATTGACTACCATGTTACAAGGTTTTCAGCGTTGGAGCCTGGCTACAAATTTTAAGTTTTCTGATCAAATTGGAGCCTTGCCTTGTCACAGTGCTCATTAAGACCGAGCTAGGTTGAAAATTTTACAGTAGTCATTTGAAATATGACTACCATAAGGTTTGAATGATTATATAGTTCATAATTGACATGTTTTTTTCCAAGTAATTTATTACTCCCTCTGTCCCATAATTCATGAGACGTTGGACTTTTTTTTACTATTCATGCATTAGATTTGACCATAATTTTTTACTAACATAATAAAAATATATTTTATCATAAAATATGTTGTTAGATAGATATTAATATAAAGTTTCATAATATAATTTTTAAAATAATTTTCATTAACATTTAATTATATAAAATTAAAGTTAAAGTAGTGCATTGGCATGTGTGCAATATTTGACTGTGTCATGTATTATGGGACAGAGGGAGTATATTACTTTAATGGTATTAAATAGTCTTATCAACATTTTTTTGATTTATCAAATTTTTAGTTTCATTTATGTAATTTTTATTCTTATTTTATAGTTTTTCAAAAATATATATTTTATGTTGGATTAAAATTTTCAAAATTTATATTTACATTGTAGATATAATAAGACTAATTATGGCCATTTTATAACGTGAAAAAATGAACCAATCATATTATATATCATTAAAATAATATGATAGTCATTTTTCAAACAACCGTTGTAAAATCATCCTCTATAAATTAACTAACCCAATTCATTAGGCCGAGACACGTTAGCTTTAATTCATATATATAGAAACAAAGAATAAAATATTGGAAGACAATATTGTGAAGAAATCCAACACTATACCTTATAAACTCCTCCTAATCTCCCTTCTCCTAGCTTATCATCATCGGAAAATAATTTGTTGCTATTTGAAGTGAATTCAAATCATAATGCAGGGACTCAATATTCGAAAACTCTTCACTATCTACTGCATTACATAAAGTATATTTCATAATATTATAAGTTTACAACATAAAAAATTAAACTACATAAAATGGACGTAAAAAATTACTAACTAAAATAAAATTGAGGTTTGTATTTGTCTACATACTGTAATCTAAACTTGGAATATGATTCCCTTGGTTTAGATTTTGCAATGGTATTTCAGTTGCATCTCCAAACTTCTTCATTCCTCTCTTCCACAACAAATAGATACATATTGTGACTTGAACCACTAAAATGGCTATCAAGACCACAATTGCGATAGTTACATAGTTTGATCTTTTCTTTCCTGCATAGGCAAATTACAAATTAAACTTAACCACTTTTTTTAATACAACAATAAATTAACGCAATATGGTTTCACTCAAGGTTTGCTCATTACCTGAACTGCTTTGAATAATTTATTTTTTTTAATTAACTAAAATATTTATTTCCAAGATGATAAATTAAAAATATATATATACATACTTAACGTAGTTAAAATCAAAATTTGGGAGATTTTTAAAGGTCTTAAAAGTATTAAAAAAAAATCCCTAATTTATTACATTGTTACTAGCATGAACTATTAAAAACGAATAGTACATCATTATATTGCACAAAGATGAGATAGAATATTTTCAAATTACCTGTAGAAGACCGCGGGGAGAGACTAGAAGGTGTTTGAAGAGGTTAATAAAACCGGTAAAGTTCATATCTAGTGTTACAGCTAGGAGTTAACACTCTAGCACCTTTGCTACTATTGCAACACTCGGGAAATAGTTGTTGGCCTTCCTTAAACATATCTGGCACTGATCTATGGAAAGATCTGGTGTGCATTGAGCCGCAGCATACACCGTCAAGAAGCTAGTAAAGTTGACCTCTTTGGTGCATATTTCTTTGGAGATGTCCCAACATCGTTAGCCAATTCTTGCATGACTTCACCGACTACTTGTTTGAAGGCGCTAGTGTTTGTGGTCATGTTATCATGATTTTTCATAGACATATACAATGGTGGAGATTCATTTGCGATTCCAAAGATGGACTCGTTGGAGTAACGAACCATGCAATCAACATACCTACGCAGCAAATAAAATTTAGTAAGTTCGCATTTAATTATTACAATGTAAGATATCGATATATGCATGGGCCGATGCACTCATCATGCAGTAAGGCTAATTAGAAAGGGAGTAATAAGTAAACATAGAATTTAAACAAAGCATCAATACGTAAAACACGATCTATTCTAATTTTTCATGCCAGTTTGAAGTTCATATTATTAACATTGTAATTATGTTGTGAGCCTTTTGTTGATGCCCGCGTTGTAACATACTTCCTCTGTTTTTTTATAGCAGCAACAGTTTGTCTTTTACACTATTTATGTGTTCCACTTTGACTAGTTTTGATGATTTATAGCTATGCAAAAATATAGTCATGTGGAATGTTAGATTCGTATACCTTACATTAGAAACGTAAAAAGCCTTGAAAATAATGGCTTAGGGTGTTCATATACCTTACATTAGAAACGTAAAAGGCCTTGAAAATACGTCCGAACATAAAATTGTAACCATTAAACTACATATACCTTCATACTGGGTCTTTTATAGCGGGCATCCAGATTCAAGCTAATTTAAGACATTTTTTTTAATGTACTTCCAATCTATACTACTAGAATTAACTAATACTACGTATGTGCTTAGCTTCTATCGATGCAGGCAATACAAAGCACAAGAAGCAAAAATGTATGAAAAGGCCTTAGAATGGCAATGTTGTTATATCTAGGCATTTTTTAAGTGGTCTAAAATTTAAAATTTGTTCACCAAAGAGGAAATCCTACAGAAAGAGGAATTAGTAGAGTACATAATTAGCATTGGAGAGTATGATTAAGTAGCTTAATAAATTTACCTTTATGACTTCTAGGTCAATTTAGAGCAATTAATTAAAAGGTAATTTCATTGGAATTTTCTTAAAAGTAACTTTTTGGTGATCATAAATTCATGATTTTCATTCTTAAATTATGGTTTTAAAAAGAACAGGACTAATACAAGTGCAAATTGGATTAATGGTCAGCAAATTCCAGCTGGACGAAACTTTAGAATGAAATTTGAGGAGGAAGAAACTTCATAGTTCGTGCATGGAGGGTCCCCATGCACGAAGACTCAAAGGTGAAAAAAGCAATGTGAAATGCTGAATGTTTAGCTTCCTTAGGACCTCTAGACTTTAGTACGTCTTTTCCTGCCGTGAACCAATGTATAACCAATTTAAGTTTATAATGTCATGCTTCCGTCGTTTTATATACCAACAATTAATTTTTATACATTCTATAACATATCATTCATGTTTGTCTTAAAATTTCACGTGGATGTTAATGGGTTAATTATAAAAAAATGATAAAACACAAATTTATTAAACAAATTTTGTTTTTGGCAAAATCGTAAACAAATTAACAATTTTTTTTTGAAATATGGGTCTCAAAGTCATTGATTTATTTACAAAAATGTCATGTTGATTGAACATTTATATTGTTTTATTTACCATTTTACCATTTGATAAACAAATCTACTATATATAATTTGTACTACGTATATATTAAAACTCAATAGTTTGGATTGTAATATCTTGCCACGTGTTGCCAATCTCGCCACGTGTCGTCATGGCTTCACAAACATGTGGCATCATGTCATACTATTATTGATCATCGTTGTTTCCTCACAAAAAATTATAATTTGCTAGCATTAATATTTGAACTCATGACCTCATATCCATTAACTTTAACTACCGCTCCAATGACATATTTTCTAATAATAATATTATATTAAAAAGAGTTATTTTTGCTCATAAATTGTAAAATTTTAATTGTTAACTTATATGTGTATATGTTATAACAACAATACGATTACAAACTTATTATCATTTCTTTTAGTTACTCATTCATAAATCATATAGGTTATTGTTATTATATATATGTAACCTAAAAATGCATAACATTTTTATAGGTTTTTCTTTTAACCAAAAAATATGTTTACTTGAAGGAATTTTTTGTGACAACTGAAAAATAAAAATCCATTTAACAAATAAAACAAATTAATACGATATAACATTTAGTTTATTTCATATAAAATAATGAATTTTGAAGTTCAATGATATTTGCAAAAATTAAAAAATGATCTTTTTTGTAAAAAAAATAACATTATATTTCACAATTTATTTTATTATAGTTTTTATATACAAACAATAATGACCTAGCTAGGGTATCGCCCGTGCCAAAAACTAGTTTTGTTTATCAAATTGATTAACTGTGACTTCCTCATTTAAAATTGAGGAAGTAGTTAATTTTTTTTTTTTAAAAAGAGGGATAAATTATGGATGTTTATATAATGGTCATTCGAAATATAACTAGCATATTATTTTAGTGATAAATAATATGCTAGTTATAATTATTGAAAATTTTATATTATAACATGGACACAATTATTCTACTAATATCTACATTGCAAATATAATTATTGAAAATTTTAATCCAACATAAAATAAATATTTTTCGAGAAACTATAAAATTTTAATCAAAGATATGATGAATAAATAAAAAATTGATGATACTAAATTAAGTAATATAATTTATTAATTGGAGAAAAGTATGTCAATCATGAACTATATAATCATTAAAACATTATGGTAATCATATTTTTAAGGAAAATTTGAAAAATACCACCAACTATTATTCACGTTTTAGTAATTATCACCTCAAGTTTTTAATTTTTTACATTACCACCTACTTTTTTAAAAAACATTAAAAAAAAAAAAAAAAAAAAAAAAAAAAAAAAAAAAAAAAAAAAAACTCCCACCTCTTTTCCCAAATACCCGTGGACCCCACTATCAATTGTACCTGTCTTTTCCCTTTTTCACCTCTGTTCTTCCTTTTTCTTCCTCTCTATAAAATGTTAAGAAAAAATTGTACCTCTCTTTTCCCTCAACTACTATAAAATTTCACTAAATTATAAACATATATGGTGTATCATAATTCTTCATGAAATATTAAAGATATATAATTTGTCGATTGTATGAAAGTTTTTGCTTCAGCCAAATTCCAATACTACAATCAATGCTATTTTGCCCTTTTAGGATAGAGTAAATTATGAACACCAGCAATTCAGTAGGAGTGTGGAGGATCATCATCCCACATGCCACACTGCCAAAACCTATTAAGACTATTAATGAAAAGGATAAAAAAAAAAATAATTATATTAATGAAAAGCCAAAAGCCAAAACCAAAAAACTATTAAGACTATTAATGAAAAGGATAAAAAAAAAATAATAATAATTATATTAATGACTAGCCAAAAGCCATAACCAAAAAACTAGTAAGACTATTACATTCATATCTTAAGCTTATGGATCATTAAGATATACATATATCTTAAGAAAACACATACATATGTTTTAATGCATATGTATATGTTTTCTTAAGATATATGCATGAATGTCAACATATTATTTCGGCTATAAATGTCTTCAATCATCTATAAGCGAAAACTATAATTATTCATATTGAGAATAGTAATATTATAATGGATTTAACAAAACCTCACAAATAATTTTTTTTTTTTTTTTTTTGAAAGTAAATCACAATATAAAATCAAAATAAGTTACCTAAGTGAAAAGTTATGATGGAGCATAAAGGTGGGATAGAGGAAATGATCAAATGTAATCAAATTAAAGGAACGAACGAAAAACAGAAAACGTGACAAGCTTATAGGCCTCCTAGGTACATTAACTACTTCAGACATAAATGGCCCAAATTAAACCATGGATATGTATTGTCAAGTTTTTTATCACTATGCCTAAAAAATAAAGCTCCTTATCACACTACTAGAGCCACAATTTGAAGCGAAGACTTTTACACATTGACCTCAAGTCAGCCAACAGGACAAAACTTAGCGCAGGTCATGTGACTCATTCTACAACCTTTTATTTGTCGATAGTTGGTGCTTTTTCTACCACTTTAAATCCAAAGGGTTCTCATGTGAGACAAGTTTGATAGAATATATAAGTCGATCTTGAGGTTCAACCATTAGCTTAAATTTTTTGTTCGCGGATATATATATGGATGAAGGTATATAGTTAGGTTTGCTACTTCAATTATCAATGTATGTAGCATGAGTTTGATTGACATTGTCGACATATGAACATCAATATTTAATACTAATGGAAGGTATAAAACAATGTCAAATTTATTAATAACCCTAAATTAAGTTTATAATCTAGAATTATGTATTGATTAATTGATTGTGTAATTTTTTTTTTTTATTGATCTTTCATTTTTTCTGTACAGATAGATTGACATTGTTAGTTTAATCATCTGTATTCCAATTTTAAAGGAAGAGAGGAGTTGTGGTCTTTTTAGGTGGAAACCACAATCTCCCCATCACTTATATAATAGAGATAAAGATGATGTCATAGCTTCATAGCAATCTCAACAGGTTCAATTGATTAACTCTTAAAAATATTTGATGTAAATGAATAAAATTAACTCTTGGATACACCTAACTCTAAACATAGGACCCGGGTGCCGGGTGCCTTAGGAAACTTGCAAAATATACAAGAAGTTCGATTCCAACAAAGCAAGCAATCGAAATTTTAATTAGTCGAAGATTCTGAACAAAATGACAGATGCATTGACTTGCTTGAGGATTCATCGGTTTCTAGTTCCTTTATGATAGGACCTGGTTCAAATTGATTGCAAACAAACAAACCAGGTTGTTGAGGTGTGGGAAGTTCGGTATCACTATTAAGACTAATAGCTATTGAAGCCATTGTAGGTCTTCTTTCAGCATCTCCTTGAACGCATAATAGCCCTAGTTGAATGCATCTTATTACTTTGTTTCTTGTGTAAGAATCTCCTAAAGATGGATCCACAATTTCTACGGGATTTCCCTCTGTCCAATGCTTCCAAGCCTAAAAAAAATTACCAAAAAACATTAATCGATACAAATAAAGAAATTAAGAGATCGATATATCATCATGTACTCACATATGTAAGAAGTTGTTCTCCTGTCCTTGATTGTCGAAAGCTGGTGCCTTTTCTACCACTTACAATCTCCAAAACCAGAACTCCAAAGCTATACACATCTGATTTTAGTGAAAACTCACCGTTTAGCAAGTATTCTGGAGCCATGTAACCACTGGAAAAAAAATAAAATGGTGAGAGTCCTTAAGACAAGTACATAAAGATGAAGAATTTTATTGATCAACACATAGATTGAAAATAACTTACAAAGTTCCGGCGACCCTGCTTGTGTTGGCTTGGCTTTCATCGACATTGAAATGCCTTGCTGTGCCAAAGTCCGATATTTTAGGATTCATGTCAGCATCTAGGAGTATATTGCTAGCCTTCAGATCACGATGTACAATTCTCAAACGAGAGTCTTCATGTAAATAGAGCATCCCTCGAGCAATGCCACTTATAATTTTGTAGCGTGTTGGCCAATCCAAACCTTCTTGTTTTCCATGATCTGTAAGAAGTACACGCAAACACAAACACAAATAATCATATCATATAAACAGTCAAGCGATAATGAACTAGCTAAAGTTGATCATCTGAAGTATTTTTTTTTTTTTTAAGTAGTCATACCAAATAACATGAAGTCAAGGCTTTTGTTGGGAACATATTCGTACACAAGCAACTTCTCGTATTCAGCCAAACAAAATCCCAATAGCCTAACAAGGTTCCGGTGTTGGAGCTTGGCTACAAATACCACCTCGTTCATAAATTGCTCCACGCCTTGATTAGAACACACAGATAATCTCTTTACTGCTATTTCTTGTCCATTAGGAAGTATACCCTGATGCATTCATGCAAAATCTCAAAACATCAAATATGTTCATACAAGAGCCATACTTGGCTACAATTTGTGACTATGTTTTTGCGCTAGAGTGTAGCTACCAAGTGCATTTAGACTGGTTATATCCTAAATTAGGCAGCCGATTTTACCAAATTCATTAGGCCAGAACAACCTTGATAAACTTATTAATTGCATAATAATGTAGAGGCCCAAAACTCTACCTTGTAAACTCCTCCAAATCCCCCTTCTCCTAGTTTATTATCATCGGAAAAGTTATTTGTTGCTATTTGAAGTAATTTCAAGTCATATTGCAGTGACTCAACATTCGGGAACTCTTCACCATCTGCATTATTGCATAAAGTACAATTATTATATGATCAAATTATACTGCAAAAAACTGATCATTACTTAAAATATAAGAAGCTTGTTATTTACTGTAATTAAAACTTGGAATATGATTCCCTTGGTTTTGATTTTGTTGTAGTACTTCAGCATCTCCCAACTTCTTCCTCCCTTTACTCCACATCAGGTAGATACACACTGATAGCTGAACCACTAAAATGGCTACTAAAGCAACAAGTGCAATCGTTACAGAACTTGACTTCCTCTTTCGTCCTGCAATAGCAAATTAAATTGCAAAGTCAAAGAACCACTTCTTCAATGCCAAAACTTTTTAAAGCGAAATGAATAATGACACATCACATTGCTCAAAAATTGGGTGAATGCGGCTTTACCATGATTAGGGACTCAAAGTATATGTAATGAGAGTTACAAAATACGGAATATAAGGATTTTCAAATTACCTTTAGAAGAAGTTGGTAGTTGTGGTGGTGATGAGGACGAGGACGAGGGCGATGGAGTAATTTCATAAAAGGGGAAGAGCTCATATGCAGCGTAACAGCTAGGATTCAACACTCTAGCTCCTTTGCTACTACTACAACAATCAGGGAAATAATTATTGGCCGTCGTTAAACACCTTAGGCACTCCGTTGTTGAAAGGTCTGGTGTGCATTGAGCCTCAGCATACACGGTCCAGAAGCCAGTAAAGTTGGCCTCTTTGGTTCCATATTTCTTTGAAGATGTCGCGACATCATTAGCCAAGGTGTGCATGACTCCACCTACTAGTTGATTGAAGACGCTAGCATTTGTGGTGATGTTACCATCGTTAGTCATGTACAACGGTAGAGAATGGTCCATAATTCCGAAGATGGACTCGTTGGAGTAACGGACCATACAATCAACATACCTATTAACAAAATGTCAATGCGTTCACACATGTTGTTACCGTGTGAGAAATATGCATGGACCCATTGTAGACTTGGGAGTCAACGGAAATTAGAGCAATCAAAAGTCAATCTTCTAAGCATAATTTGTCCAAAGTAGCTGTTCTTTAAGAAAAAACTCGTTAATTTTAGGAGTTTTTTCCGTCAAAAAACTTGTACTCCGTATTATACAAGTTTTGCAAATAGCTACTTTTTATATATATATATATATATATATATATATATTATATAATTATTTTTTTTTTCTTTTGAAAATAACTATATTATACAATGTGGGTTGTTAGCAAATAAAGGTAGTGCTAACAATACAAATTGTATTCTATAAAGTAGTGATTTTCAATATAAAAAGGTAGTTATTTGCAAAACTAGTGTTATAAAAGGTAGCTCACCACAAAAAAATCCTTAATCTTAACAAACCACAAATAATCTAAAATGTGGCATTTTACACAAGAATTAAGCCAAATGAACTATGATTAATTACTTAACAAATTTATGAATTAATTACTTCACCTTGATTATTATTATAACTACTACTCGTATATATTTTACTAGCTAGTACTTGTTGAAAAACTTTTCACTATAGTATCAATATATATGACTATTAAAATAAACTTAATTTCAAATGGAGGATATGTACCTATAATTAATTAAGCAGTTGATCAGTGACTTACCAAACTGTAGCCACCACAGGCCGAGATGGGCATTCCTGTAATAAGCTCTGAATGGCTTTCGGCACACATGTTTGGCAATCTCTGTTCGAGTCATCTCCACGACAAAGATAGAGGCCGAATACGGTGTTAGAACGACCATGATCATACCCTACAACAGACGTATTGAAAAATCTTGTCTTGCCTCGGCCTTGTGTCGCATTTGTGGCTAGAGAAGTGAAGGTGGCATTAAGATTGGCCTCGTACGTGCTGTTCGGAGCATAACTATCAGTGGAACAAGCTTTTTTGAGTAGAGTATCGCCTGCGAGGCTTCTGTCGATGGTGTTGGCTATACAAAGCGCTAGCATTAACAGAACAAGAAATGGACTTGAAGTTGTAACGTTGGTATATTTAGGCATTCTTTCAAGTGAAAATTGAGTTAGTAACCCAAAGAAGAATTGGAGGAATATATTAGAGTAGCAATGAGAGTATAAAGGAGAATTTTTTGCAAATTTAAAAATGGAATTTTCTTAAATTTGCTTTTTAGTGGTCATGGTTCTCATTCTTGCATCATTAAGTCAACTTGACTTACAAAAATAGTAAAGAAATAAAAGACAGGTCATAGAAATTATATGTATTCTACAGTTTTTTGGTGAAATCAGAATAAGTGGACTTGATTTTAGTCAGCAACAGCCAGCTAAATAAAAGTTTTATTGAAAGAAACTTCTTGGCTCGTTCAATTGTCACTGGTGGTCCATGCACAGAGGTTCGATGGTGCAGATACAATGTTTCCTTAAATGGGCCTCTCCAGACTCCAGCCCAAAGTTCTAGATGCATGGTAGGTTTGATTTAGCTTTTTACGGGCCCAAGTGTTTGTTCGGTTGATAACAAAAAAAATTTGAGAAATGAAAATTCATTGGAATTGATACAAGTATATAGGATAGTTGTTTAGTTAATACTCCGTACAAATTCATTGTTGTTGCAGTTAATATACTTGTATATTTTTTTTATTACAAATAAGATAAATGTAAATGTAAGCACTTATATCAAGTGGACAAAACTTAGAACATAATTGTTATGAGGGTAATTTGTAAAAAATAGGATTCAAAACAGTTTTATATACAGTAAATTTTAGTAAGTGAAACAGGAGTGATAATTACATTGTATACTTTACAAGACTACACACCAATTGGCAATTGTTGTATATGTAGCAAAGCTGTGATTATTTGATTACAAATATAATCAATGTTATCTAGGAACTACTGTCGAGGTTGTTAGATCATTTACAGAAGAATTACTAGCAGCTATCATATGATCAGCATCATGTCTTACAGAAATCGAAAGTACATTTGGTTGAGGGAGAGTCAATGATTCACCACTGAGTAAAGAAACCACAGTTGCCATAGCAGGTCTTTCTGTGGGGTCCTCTTGCACACAAAGAAGCGCGATATGAAGGCATCTTAGCACCTCTTCCATTGAACATGGCACAGCTAGTAACGAGTCAACGAATTCTAACTCTCTGCCTTCATTCCACAGCTTCCATGCCTACAAAAATAGCAACGAAGATAAAATTTTTGTTTATATAAGTTCAAATCCGGCTAAGTATGAAGCCTTACATATGAAACAAGTGACTTAGAATGCTCTTTGAAGTATCGACTGCTACGTATCCCACTGATGATCTCTAGAACAATAACTCCAAAGCTGAACACATCAGATTTTACTGAAAACAGGCCTTCCATTGCATACTCTGGCGCCATATATCCACTTTTACATTGGACAAATTAAATGTCAGTTATATTCCATGTCAGCATGTATAGTTAAGCACAATATTTACTATGGAAATAGTAAGAACTAGGAAGTCTACTTACTAGGTACCGACAACTCTCTTTGTGTTGGCTATGTTTTGATCAACACAAAATATCCTTGCTATGCCAAAGTCGGAAATTTTTGCATTCATATCTTGATCCAACAGAACATTACTAGGCTTCAGATCCCGGTGAATGATCCTTATCCTGGCACCATCATGAAGATATAGAAGTCCTCGAGCAATTCCATTAATGATATTGAATCGTGCCTCCCAGCTCAGGTCTACACGCTTCTCTGCATCTGAAACTTATTTCAATTCAGCACTAAGATAACCCAGTTTTAGATGCAGCATCTCAAAAAATCGATGCAAATTATACCATAAATATACAATTCAAGGCTTTTATTTGGCAATAATTCATATATTAGAATCTTTTCTTGGCCTTGAATTCCACATCCTAACAATCTGACAAGGTTCCTGTGCTGGAGATTTGCCATCAATATGATCTCGTTTTTTAATTCTTCTCCCCCTTGCCAAGTTCTTCTTGCCAACCTTTTAACAGCTAGTTTTGTTCCATCAGGAAGACGGCCCTGTAATCTTTTGTTTAGTTTCTTTTCAAGCTAAAGATTATAAGGCTAAATGCACTAACAAACACTAGTAAGGAATGTTTAAACCTCATAGACAGCACCAAAACCTCCTTGTCCGAGCAACTTTGAATCAGAAAAGTTATCTGTGGCATCTTTCAGAGTAGCTAAATCCATAGATGTCAATCCTTCGGTACTTACTAAGTTACCTTCTTTTGTTATCACCACATCTTTAGGAATGGTTAAGGCCGACATCATCTCACTTTGGTTCAAGTCCTTACCTGTAAGAAATGTATTGTACCACATGAAAAAGAAGTGTGGCGTGATAGACAGCACCATTTCTATATATTTAAAGTTGAAATTGATACTTACCCTTTTGTACCTTCATCCGATAATAGACAGCAAAAAATGCAGCAATAATTATAACAAGTAATGTTGGAACACCAATTGCTATGATCAGCACCCAGGTTCTGCTTCTGCTCTCGGAGGGAACGAATATCTCTGCTTTGAAATAAAGTTCATCAGAATTAAAGTTACTCCTCAAATCATGAAGTTAAATAAAACTAACTCCAAACTTTTTTTCAAAAAAAAGACTTAATGAAAGAACATACCGTTGACAGCAGTGGCATTATAAAAGCGGTATGCCTCAAATCTCATACTACAACTGAAGCTAAGAATTGATCCTCCTTGATGCAAAGAGCAACACCCATCAAGATCTCCAAATGCCGAATTCAGACAATTGCTGCAATCAGAAGGGGAGATATCTCTAGTACATTGCACTAGTCCATATATCGTGTAGTCTGAAACTTTCGTTCTTCCAACAGAAAACATTTGACTAGAAGAATTAGAAGCAGCCTCAAACGATAGTTCATGCATTAGACGCGACAAAACCTTACTAGATATTGCAGGATTGACCGTAAGATTCTCATTTTCATACTTTCCTCCGTAAGTCATGGAGGAGAAAAACATGTAGTATGAGTAATGAACTTGACATAAATCAAGCCATATAGTTGCTTCTATTGCTTTACACTGTCGGAAAATTTCAAGGCTTGCGTTCTGAACACAGAGTTCACAATCAGATGCTGAAACATCTCCCCTGCAAAGTGCTTGAGCATATACTTTATTAGGATCACTCCCTGCAGAACCATTATAAAAACCTGAAATGGATGTATTCGAAGGAAGAGAATCGAGGAGGGTTCTAAGATTAAGTTCAAACCGGCTATTTGCTGCATAATTTTCATTTCCATTTTCATTTGCAGGACAGGAAATAGAGATGTGATCTGAACTTAAGACAGTTGCTGACAGAAAATACAAAAGTACCAAAAAATGATTAAATGATAGTATTTCGCAACTCTTCATGTTTATTTAAGTAAATGTCAAAGGATTTACATTTTTGGTAGGGATAAAGGTTTTAAGCTTTCAGATAAGATAACAACTGCCTATAAGTTGATTTCCTTACAAAAAAAAAAAAAAAAAAAAAAATTGAATTTTCAAGTTGCTGTTATTTCTACATCGAAAATCAAATTTTCAAAGAGTTGACTAAGCATATTCCCTCATAAAACAGAGAAATGTTATATTTAATTTGCTAATTGAGCTGGATGCAATGAATTTTGCGCTTTATTTAGTTTATTATATAATGTATTAGTTTTATGATGTCTAACAGATGTACAATAAAATACTGTAAGTTAAACTCTAGTCGCTGTGTAAGTTGTATTCTGGATTTCTCAGACTTTACATTCTCTACTAATTGATGTGGCAAACAACCTAACACATTATCAGTGAGCCACAGAAATTCTGTGTGTTGTTCTTTGCTGTTCGTAACCACTTGTTAAGCTTTATCTTTCGCGCACTGTTACAATAATGATTTCGACATAATTGTAGCCCTGTTGTTAAAGATGCCCAACTGCACATGGTTGCTTGCTTGAAAAAATAGCTAACAACAATTTGTATTTGTTTAATGAAAACGGTTTTAAACAATTATTGGAAATACAGAACCTGTCAGATTTCTGAAGTCAAATCTTCTTTGTTAAATTTAAATCTAGTATTATAAAGCCATCAGGGAAGTACTGCATATTATCTAAGTAGATGCACTGGATTTACATAAGCAATGACATCGATCTCATAATCTAAGTGTCGTAATTGTTGTCTTTTTGTATGATGCATTCCGTGTATTTTTGTAGAAGTCAAGTCACACATTGAGGACATGAAAATATTGTGCAAATAATTAATCGCGGTCAAGACTTGATACTCACATTTTTATTTAAGGATGTAGTATGATAGTTTGTCATCCTTCTGAATATATTAATGGTTTCAGACTAAGATTGCACAACTGAGAAGAAACAACTAATACAATCAAATAGCAAATTCTTTACAATTTACATAGGAATTCAATCACCAAATACATTCAACAGTCTAACAAAATATAGCTTCAAAGATTGTACACTTAATCTACGAGTCAACTAACTAAACCAATAGGACTAGCTAGCTAAATCAGTAAGCAATTGCATCATGAGTCATCGAGCAGAAATATCTGAAAGGGCAAAACATCTTAATGAGGTTGGTGTTCTAGAACTTGTTTCATAGTGATCACCAAATCTTCCAACAGTAAAGGCAGGTTGTTTTGGAGAATGAAGATTTACATTTTCGTGTTTTAACATGTGAACCACGAATGACATTGTGGGTCGTTCAGACGGATCCTCTTGAACACATAGTAATCCTATGTGCAAGCATCTTAAGAACTCAGTAGTGACATCACACGAATCATTACTTGTCAACATTGGTTCCATCAATTCTTTCCACCTTCCTTGGATCCATAATTTCCATGCCTGCATTTTCGATCAAATCAGTATGAAAAAATACAAACAATAGGAGATGATGAGAAGAAGCAGGACTTTCTGATCACTTACATAAGCTTGGAGGCTCGGACCATTCCCAGTAAAATGAAATCCAATGCTTTTTCTTCCTGTTATCATCTCTAGCAACATAATTCCGAAGCTGAAAACATCAGATTTTACAGAATACATTCCTTCCATTGCATACTCCGGTGCCATATATCCACTATTAATTGCAGCATTAGTAAACAACAGCTACTACTGCTAGAAAACTTTTAAAAAATGGAAAGAAGATCGAATTGTTAAGCTGATGAAGAACTTACTATGTACCAATCACTGTGATAGTGCTTGCTTCATTTTCTGTTGTTCCATAGATTCTGGCATTTCCAAAGTCAGAAATCTTAGGATTCAGATCAGAGTCCAACAATACATTGCCAGGTTTTAAGTCTCGGTGTATGATTCTTAGTCGGGAATCCTCGTGCAGATACAGAATTCCATGAGCAATCCCATTGATAATCTCAATCCGTTTGATCCATGTAAGCTGTGCACTCTTCTGTGGATCTATGATCAAAACAGAAGATAACAAATTTCAAGCAAACTTTAGATAGTTCCTGTTATCCTTATTAGTTATGCTTAAATTGTGAATTTCTGTACAGAACTAAAAGACCTTTCTTGTCATCGTACCATAAAGCCAAGAGTCTAAGTCACCAGAAGACAAAAGCTCATAGATAAGCAGCCTTTCAGCTCCGTCTACACAGAATCCCAACAGCCTGACAAGATTCTTATGTTGAAGCTTCATGATTAGCAGAACTTCATTTTTGAATTCTTCTGTGCCTTGATCAGATGTGTTGGAGAGTCGTTTGACAGCAACTTTAGTACCGTCTTTTAGGACACCCTACAGAGTGGATAGGATAACAAAGGCAAAGGCTTCATTAATTCGGTTCCAAAATTTTGAACTGTCAGACTATAATAACAAGGATATATTGTCTTTTTTCGTATGCTAACCTTGAAGACAGGACCAAAACCACCTTCTCCTAGCTTGTGTTTTTCAGAGAAGTTTTCTGTGGCAGCTTGAATACTTGCCAAATCAAACAAGGGACTGTCCATTCCTCGAAAATTTGTAGCTGCATATAATGAGGCTGCTGCTTTATCTGGACAAAAAATGAGCATATTTACTACAAGCAAAATTTATACTCTGACCTTGATTTTTACGTCTTAGAATGATGTAGAACACACAAGATCCTACAAGAGTTGCCAGGACACAAGCCAACCCAATCGAAATAATACGAGTTGTCCATTTCTTACCTAAAATCATTAGCAACAAAACAAATTCTCGAAGTTAAAAACAAATTGAGTTACTTGACTTAACAAAGTACTCCGTATAACTGTACACGAATTCAGAACACTTACCCTGACTTGCAGGATCTTCTGACGTTTCCCCTTTGTAGAAAGCGTAGAACTCATACCTTAGATAACAGCTTTTACTAAAAAGTCTTCCACCTCGAAATTTATAGTTATCTGAACCAAGAACGTCTACTATACCCTTGTGCAGACATCGTTGACAATCGATTGGAGACAGGTCTAGAGTACATTGCACAAGACTATATATATGTTGTGCCCCTGAAAAAGGCGTCAGCTGAGTTGCATACATATGATTCAAAGAAGTATTATGAGCAGCCTTCAGAGCAAGGTCATGTAAACTTGTGTTTACAACTGTTCTAAACTTCTCTGGTTCTGATACATATTTTGTGTTATACTTGTTGATATTTCCAGTCATATCTAAATGGCCGAAGAATCTTTGATTAGATACACGAAGCAGACTTTGGTCTCCCCAAACTGTTGCATCAGATGAATTCGGACAAAGTCTACGAATTGCTTGTGTTGCCATGATCATGCTTGTCCTGCAGGTCTCGAGTGTGACATAATCGTAGCAAAGGTAAAGCCCATATGATGTAACACTGCCATTTCCGGCAGAAGTGTTAAAGAATTTAGAGACAGAAGCATTTGAAGAGATTGAAAATAGAAGACTGTCAATATTCTGCTGGAAAAAATTTTCTGATGTACTATTGTTGCTGTTAGCATCTGGGCAATTCCAGTATGGTGGATCAGCAAGAACAAGAATGTTATTGAAAATGTTGATCATAAGAAAAATACTGAGCAGAAGATTATGCATTTTAGCTTATAGATTGTATAAAATGTGAGGAAGGACTACATTAATAATAATCATGTAGTATGTACATAATAAAACTATAGCAATACAATATCTGAATACAGTAAGACTTTTTTTGTTGACAAGCAACTAGACTTTAATCAAGGACTCCCCCTATCCGGACTTTAATAATCAACTACGAAGTATATTGATTTAAGATGTCCTAGAAAAATTGTCACATATACAACCCAAGCACTTGACTGGATTTTATAAATCAGGCCTTAAACTATGTGATGAGAAGATAATAACAATGACATAACAAAGGAGATAACTATATGTACTACGTAATCAAATTTTATACGGAGTACTTACTAATACTATGTAAACATCTTCTTTTTTTTTTTTATTTATTTTTTTTTTTTTTTTTTAGTATATAGTGGCACAAGGCGACAAGGGCCTAGTATCACATCTTAAGACTTTACCAACAAAGTTAGCCGACAGAAGCAAAGTCTAATGTAATATTGTTAACAGTTACCACTAATTAATAATCAGTGATTATGTCAATATGTGTAAGATGGTTATCCACTTATGTGATACTCCTTCTGACCTTTATTTTTTGCTCCATTTGACTTTTCACGATCTCCATAACGCGACTTCAAACATACTTTATATATCTCCATTTTTATACGCGTAAAAATTATAAAAATTTGATATTAATAAACTATACAATTAGACAATTCTAAAAAGATCCCACATAAATATATGATCACTTATAGATTAACGAAAATTCATGGTCAAACATTTAAAAGTTTGAGTCATATTTTTGTAATGGAGCAAAAATTAAGAGACGGAGAGAACTTAACTATCAATTTCTTTTTTCAAGTAGCTTATCAATAGTTAAATTTCTTATTGAATGGTACAATTTTCCGTAAAAAGTTTGACTTGCTTGGGATAAAATAATGGAATACAAGTAGTTTACTCTTGATCGTTGTAATATTTTATTCAATGCATTAAACTTCCATGAAAGATTGCTTAATTAGTCAACTTTAATAATCTTAGGGTGTGATCGGTTGTTGGCTTGTTGCCCAAAGATTAGACAATAAAGATATCATTCGTAATGCAACGAGTAGACAACCGTAATAACAGCTACTGATATACTTGTAATCTTGTATATAGTGTATGTGTATGTGTGTGTTTTTATCTTTTAGGGGTAAAGATGGGCATGGGCCGTGCCGTATAGGCTCATATGTCGACCTAGCGTGCCTCATGCTCATGTGGGCCATTATTGAGACATGTCATAAAAATTCCTATTCTGTTGGGCTCATGTCGATCTTTCATATACAAAGCTCATACATAGCTTATCCTTTGTGATGTGCCGGGTAGAAGCGTAGAGCCATGCCAAAGTCACCGTGATAATTTTCTATGTTTTATTAAATTGGTAAAAAATAAGCGAGTCAGTAAGCAGGCTGGCACGTCATGCTCGTGTTGGATTTATGCCAAATTTTGAAAATGAAGTTCATAAACCGCCTATGGCCTACCGGCATTTCACTCGTGTCGTCATTCCTAGATAACTTGTGATGGGTTCAAGTCGTGTTGAGCCATTTTCATGTCGTGCCTAGCTAACTGGCCCTTTGTGCCTAGGTGTTGTAGTTTTAAAGTCTCATTGGATTGATTAATTTGTGGGTTCACTAATATGTTGCTCAAGCCATGCACAAATTTAAATTAATATCCCTTGTGTTCTCTATTCAAAATCAAATATGGGGCAAACAAATAGGAACGGAGGGAGGTGAAGATTTTTTATATACACCCGAGTAAGATACACCCTAAGTTAATTGTTTGCTCATTTGATGATTAAATGAGTAATAATCATCCTTTAATAATAAAAATAAAAAAATATAAAATATAAAAAAAAAACACACACACAATATCTTGGATGCATCAGATTCTCAGCGCGTTTTGTGTGCAGTTGGCCACACCATGTAGCCATTTGTAAAAGAACAAAGTAACCCCTATAACACTAACTAAGTAAGCCCTCAGCTCTAATACTGACTAAGTAACCTTCAAAAACACTGACTAAGTAATACCTGTATATATTACACTAACGAAGTAACCTCTATAACACTGACCAAGTAACGTTACAACACTGACCAAGTAACCTCTATAACACTAACAAAGTAATTCTCGTGATGGTTGACCACACTTTGTGCCCAGCCACATATAAGAATTTGTGATTCTCATCATTAGCTATAGCCCTCAATCATTCATTAGACCTGAAACTAAATTTTATATAAGGTGAAGCCCGGTGAACCGAAGACACCCTTAACAAACACAATACAGTAAATTAAACATAACCCAATTAAAGTTTGGAAAAATTGAATTAAATAATTCAACATTTGACCCATTTAAATATAATAATCCAACCTTTGTACTATTCAGGATTAATTCAAGCTTTGGGGGGTCTTCGATTTTATTAGGCCATACCCGTCACCAACCTAAAATATCTGATCACCATGCTACGTGTCACGTTTTGATTCGTCCGAATAAAATTATTTTTATTTTTCATTTTTTAAGAAAAAACTTAATTTTTTAAAACGGCAATTTTATGAAATGCCATTGAGCACTTAAAAAATTCATGAAATGCCATCGTGTTTTCCAGAATTCACTAAATGCCACTGAGGTTTAGTACAATATCACCATATGCCATTTTCGTTAGTTGATGGTCAGTGCCCGTTAGTTGACCCCACCACTGCCACATGTCACCTTCTGATTGGTCCGTTTTTAAAAATTAAAATAATTAAACAAAAATTAAAAAAAAAAACCAAAATATTAAAAAAATAATAAAAAATAACAAAAAAAATTAAAAAAAAAAATTAAAAAAAAGGAACTTAGAGGTGGCAGCCACCACCTCCTCGTTGCCGTCGAGCCCCCTACCCACCCCAAAACCCTAGCCGCTACCACCCCTTGCCGCCGGGGCTAGCACCGGGAGGCGCGTCGGCCGTCGGCGACCCTTCCCCTTCCCCTCCCCTATTCCGTCGCGACCCCCTAACCTGCGAAACCCCACACCCAGATTTCACAACCCACCCCTAGCCATGGAAGGAAATCCCACCCACTCAAAACCACTGAAGAATTGTAAATTGACATCATTGATTATGTCCTTGCTTTTCATCCAAAATTAAAAACAAAATTAAACAAAATCAATTACACTGAAGTCTAAGCCACTAACATTTACCCTGGGTTTGAATTTGTTGACTAGTCGAATGAATCGACAGTAAGGTTTCGTAGGTTAGGGGGAAGCGACGGGATAGGGGAGGGGTCGCCGGCGGCCGGCGCGCCTCCCGGTGCCCCGGCGGCAGGGGGTGGTGGTGGCTAGGGTTTTGGGGTGGACAGGGGGCTCGACGGCAGGGAGAAGGTGGAGGCTGCCACCTCTAAGTTCCTTTTTTTTTAATATTTTGGTTTTTTTTTATTTTTGTTTAATTATTTTAATTTTTAAAAACGGACCAATCAGAAGGTGACACGTGGCAAGTGGTGGGGTCAACTAACGAAAATGGCATATGGTGATATTGTACTAAACCTCAGTGGCATTTGGTGAATTCTGGAAAACACGATGGCATTTCATGAATTTTTTAAGTGCTCAGTGGCATTTCATGAAATTGCCGTTTTTAAAATGTTTTTTTAGAAAAACAGCCCCCCTCCCCTCCACCAGACCACCACCATTAATACCAGTTTCGACCACCCTCTCTTCCCCTCCCTACCCTTTTTCGTCTACCCCTTCCCCCTCCTTTTCCGGCCACCATTCCCCCTCCCCCTTCCCTTCTCATTTTCGACCATCCCCTCCCTTTTCGACCACCTCCCAAAACAGCTCTTGACAATTCAGCCTTGGTGCCTTAGGTGCCCTCACCAATTCCGCCCTCTACACCGCGACGGTGACAAGAAAGTCGTCATCTTTGACCATATTTGCGCAATTATCGAACAAATTGTCGGCGAAGGTGCTCACATCCAAATTCCAAGGCTCCAGAATCCTTACATCTTTGATATTCGAACTCGACCTCACAGTTTTTCATCAATGCCTGGAACCGGGAAGGGAAGGGGGAGTTGGGGCTACACTGGGGAAGGGGATGGTGGCTGAGCTTGGGGGAAGGAGGAGAAGAGAGAGAGAGGATTTTTTTTTACTTTTATTTTTTTTGTTAAATTAAATAAAAAAAATCAACTTGGCCTAATAAAATTGAAGACCCTCAAAGCTTGGATGGATTATTTCTGAATAATCGAAAGGGTGGATTATTCGCAAATTTTAAGGTGCACCACGTCTATAATTTTGAACATTATGTATAGTACATTAAAAATGAACATTTAGTACAAATAAACATTTAGTTATTAAAAATGAAAATACATTTATTTATAATGAAAATATTTTAAACAATTTATTTTATCTTTATTCGTATATACATTGTATTTGAACCTATTTGTTTCTAAAATGATTATTATAATTCAAAATATGAACATTACACTATTAGAATTTGAACATATAATTTTTGAAAATAAACATTGAAATTTTAAATATAATCATTTCATTATTTTTTAATGAACATCAATAAATATGAATATGACACTACTCGAATTTGAACAATTATTTTTTGAAAATGAACATTGAAATTTTAAATATGAACACAACACTATTTTATAATGAACATAAATTTTTTATAAGAAGTTTGTCGGACTCAGGATAATTCAAAAAGATTTTGTAATATAAACTGAATATTTAGTGCATATAAAATGAACATTTCATTATAAAAAATGAACATATAAAATTGGATGTTCATGTTCATTTTTATAATTGTAATGTACAATGTTCACTGTTTTTACGTATTCATTATTTTATTACTAAATATTTATTATTTTTTATTAAATGTTCATTTTGTAGGGCATGACCCAGCTATTCTATGATACTCATATTCATTTTGAAGTACTAATTGTTCTTCTCCTCCTCATTTTTTTTTACGTATTAATTTTTCATTACTGAATTTACGTGTTTATATTTTATTACTAAATATTCATTTTTTATGATGTGTTCATATTTTATTACTAAATATTCATTATTTTTAGGGAAATTCTACATGATAGCCTCATGAATTTAACTTTTCTACGTGGAAAACGAACTTTTTCCAACTCTCTTTAGTGGACCAAGGTTTAGAAAAATTGACCATAGTGACCTTTTTTAGGTTTATGGCTAACTTTTTTAGTTAAAATGGTTAACCTTTGATTTTTTTATTAAAAAATTATTTAAATTATATTTTAAAATAATAAAATTAAAAAAAAAAACAAAAAAATTCCCAGCCACCCTACAAACCCTAACCTTTCCGGAATCTGGCCACCCCTGACCACCGAAACCACCTTCCAGCCCAACCCCCGACCATCGAAACCACCAAAACTAGCCGCCCGGCCTTCCACAACCCCACCTGACCTAGCCCTGACCCCTAAAATGCCACCCCGACCCCCAAAACAACTATGAAGTCCGACGAAAATTGGCCGGCCGCACCCCTTGACCACCAAAACTCGCCGGCCGACCTTTTAAAAGGTCAACTAACCTAGCCCCGACCCCCGTAACCGCCTACCCTGCCACCCCGATCCCAAAAACCACCAACAAGTCCGACGAGCGCGCGTGGTGACTTTAGATGGTTTTGGGGGTCAAGGTTGGCTGGGTTGGTGGTTTTGAAGGTCAGGGATGGGTTAAAGGTGGTGTACAGATCCAGCCGTTCGGTTTCGATGGGTAAGAGGGGTGGTTGGCCGGTTTCCGGCGAGGCTGAGGTGGGGTTAGGGTTTGACGGTGGGGATAGGTGGCTGGGAATTTTTTTGTTTTTTTTATTTATTTTTAAAGTTTTTATTTTAAAATATAATTTAAATAATTTTTTAATTAAAAAAAAAATTAAAGGTTAACCATTTTAACTAAAAAGGTTAGCCATAAACCTAAAAAAGGTCACTATGGTCAATTTTTCTAAACCTTAGTGCCACTGAAGAGAGTTGGAAAAAGGTTCGTCTTCCACGTAGAAAAGTTAAATTTATGAGGCCACCATGTAGAATTTCCCTTTTTTTTATATAACGTGTTCAATTTTTTTTACTACATGTTCATTTTTGTTAAGTGTTCGTTTTTTTTATTTTATTAATGTTCATATTATAAACTTGGTGCACCTATTTCTAGGTGGACCATATAACTATTGTGGATTATTAGATTTAAATGGGCCAAAGGTTGAATTATTTGAAGGAAAAATTGCTAAAGAATTGAATAATCTGAACTTTAGCTCATTTGCCCAAAATGATCTCAACTTTCGATTATTTTTAATAATTCGAACTTTAATGCGAGTTTTCTTCTAATGGTCCCAACTGGTAATCTAATAAGTTAGATGACATGTGTCAGCGTATAATTGGTCAAAAAAATTAAAAAAAATAATTAACTAAAAAAAACCTACCACCTCTTCCCCTACCAGCTCGGCCACCCTCAGCTCCCTGTCCAGCTCTCCGGCCCCCGCCTCGCTGGCCCAAACCCACCCCACCTCTCTGCGTCGGGGCTTCCCCTCCCCTACCCCTTGCGCAGCCCCTCCAACCACAACCCCCACCCTCGCTCAAATTGAGATTCCTCCTCCCGAAATATCCCTAAAAAACCCCTTCCGCACCACATACAGCCCCCAAACCACCCTTCCCCCACCTTCGAAACCCTAGCTCTAGGGTTTCAAAGGTGGGGGAGGGGAGGGGTGGTTGGGGGTTTATGCGGTAGGGATAGGGGTTTTTTAGGGATTTTTCCGGAGTAGGGAGGGGAGATTTGTGGTGGGGGTCACTAGTACATAATTGAGTTTATGTAACACGTTTTAGTAACACTTTTTGAAATGCAAAATTATTAGATTTATAAGTAACACTTTGGTAACTTTTTTTAGAATGTAACACTCAATGTAACACTATTATCATAAGTAACATTATAAAGTAACACTTTTGAAATAGGTAACATTTTAGGGTAACACTAAACCATTTTTTTTTTTTTTTTTTTGGAAAAATATGGTAACACTAAGTCACTAACCTTATTTCTATATCACCCCTAGCAACAAATGACATTTTTGTCCTTTCTTTTTCTTTTTTCTCTGTTTTGGTTTCAGTTTTACCTTTTTACTTAATGTCTTCTTCTCTCTCCTCTAAGGTGAGGCAAAACAAGCTGCGAAGGAAGAGGACGAAGCAGCTGGAGGACCCGCGTCACAGCCAATAGCACCGGCGAGATGGACCAACAAAAGAGCGGCATCAACTGCAGAAAACACGCCACTTTTAACAATAAAAAGCTGTGAGTTCTCTTTGATATTTGATTTCGCATTGTCAATATTTTCAATCTAGGGTTTTTTTGGTGTTTATTCAATGCAAGGGGTAAAATTTTAGGGTTTTTAAAGATTATTGATTAGTGTTTTGTTATTCATTCTGATTATTGATTAGTGTTTTGTTATTCATTCTGATTTCTGCTATTACTTGAATTTCACCCTTTTTTTCTTCGAATTTTCTTCTTTCTATTACAATTTTGTGAATTGTTGTTCTATTCTTGGGTATATGATGGTTTTGATGAAAATAATTGTTTTAAATAGGCATGTGATTGAGTTAATTAATTCCAAATTGTGGTAATTTATTTCTCTTATACGTTTATTTCTTCTCTAAGGCGAAACTTCTTGGGTTTTTATTGTTTCGTCAGTGTGGCGGCCATAGCAATGGGCCTGGTGATCGAGGTAGAGATGATCGCATTTCGAGCAGAAATCAACCAACATCTTAAGGGAATTGTTATAGGTTTTTAAAAAAGGTTCATTAATGGCGGACATAACACATGGGTGGAGCAGAGTTGTCCGCATTTGAGGTAGAAATGAACCAGCCTTTTAGTCTCATTATCAGTTCTTTTTAATCAACCAAGGAGTTCTTCAATAGCTCACCTCCAACTCCTCTGATTTATTTCAGTACCTTTATCTCTGATATATAAAGATTTATTTTATTGAAACCTGAATTTCAATCATATTATATTGATTTATTCTTTCTAATTATACGAAGTATGATTTTTTGTTTATTCTGATCAATAAATTTTGAAAGTCATTCATCACACCCCCCCCCCCCCCCCCAATGTGGGTGATCTTGATTTTGAATTAGTGAGAATTTTGGGAGACAATTGGTTAAAGTTTTAATTAAAATTATTAGATAAATATGGTTGGACATATTGTTGGGTTCAAATTCAATTTTGGATTTTTTTTTTTTTTTTTTTTTTTTTTACTGAAGTTGTTTTTGGTTGGATACAAGTAGTGAAGTTGACCATGACAACTGTAATGTTAGACTGTTTTGATGCAATTCGTGTAGAATTCTCTGATCTAAATGCAATTTCTTTTTTAGAATATAATTAGAACAAGCTAAGTCAAGCGAAACTGTTTTCAAGTGAAAATGTTTCCTAGTGAAGAGGTCTTTAAGGGGAATTGAGATTAATCATTTGAATGCATTAGTACATCTCATAGGATGCTCTTTGAGAGGTGACAGAACACTGATATTTCTTCCACCACATAGACTTTTGAAAAATGTCATAGATATTGGGAGTGACCTACTAAAAAGCCAAAGACAAACAAGTTACATATGCTAGATATCATAGAAATAAATAGCAGTCATCTCATGAAATTTGTAAAACCACAAAAAGAAACTTGAAAATAGATAACATCAGGAGAGTGTAGCTGAATAAGCTCAGCGATAGCTTGCATCCTCTTATGCACCTCTAAGTTTTCTCTGAACCACACATTGTATGTAAGGATCTTTATCACACCTGAATTTCAGAATTTTCAGCAATTTCCTTAGAACTGAACTGCTTGTTTTCGCCTTTCCAAGCCATTTTCAGAATCCAATAAGCAAGATAGATCCCAAAATGAATTATTTCTATGAAGGACTTGAATTATAAGAACTATAGAGAGCCTGAATCTTACAACAATGAATAGGAACAGCAAATAAGTGACTGGTAAATAAAATAACTTTAGAATAGAAGACAACAAAATTTTAGATCTTTTAAATGAATCAATAATGTCCATGGGAGTACTTGGTAATCTGAATTGTGTTGTTTCAGAATTAGATTAAAAAAAATTGATCATGGACATAACAAATTTTAAAGAAGAAATTTAAATGAGTTTCAAAGCATCCTACAAAATTCACACTAACCTTCAATTGGGTGTTACTTGAGGTTAATTATGTACTAGTGTCTTTTCTTTTTAGTTTACATTTGATTTTTCTATATATCGTTCTCTTTTGTATTCTCGGATTTTGTGATGTGAGTGCCCCGTGCTTTTTAGTCGATTAGAGGTTCTAAACATATTAGCAAACCGTTTGAGTGATGCTTGTGGAATTTACCTGTCCACCATATTGTATAACTGCAAAGGTGAAAATTTTCTTTTTTTATATGTTCTGATTTGGTTTCAGTAATTCCATGAAATACTCAAATTGATTCTCTTGGTCTTACTATGTAGGACTTTATAGTCTGAACTCTGAATATTGAACAATGTTCGATCAAGTCCAGAACAATTCAGATAGTTGCTGGTACTGCATCATCTATCATGCTCAAGGGATTGACAACTCAATATATAGTCCACAGCAGTTTCAAGGTACACTGCATTCTTCTCTCTGTGATTATTGACTATAAGCCTGGTAAATTGTAAATTTAACATCTCATAATGAACTTCAGACTAGGACTTGGTTCTAATACTCTCCCTTGTTTCTGGTGTGTATTTATAAATGAAGTTATGCTCGCCCATGACAATGACCTAGTTGTATATCTAAGTATGTTGTTCAACATTCAATTTGATGACAGTTATTAGCACAGCACACATGTCAGTTATCATTGGCATATCTTTTTACTTGTTTTATAAGTCATTAAGTAGCTTGCATATGAAAACATATACCTTAAGAACCACTCATGAAGTCTACACTTCTAGTGAACATGTGTAGCAAGTATCATCTCAGTCTGTTTCTACTGAAGGCACAAACAGTACCACAAGTTTATTTTTAAGAAGAGATTTTTTTTTCTTCGCGTTATTCAGATCCAAACTTTAGAATGATCAGAGGAAAGGGTTGTTATAAGCTGTAATATTGTCTATTCTTCCAACTTATAAGCTGTAGTATTAAGCTGTTTCCTTATAGCTGAATTAATGCAGAGAGAAGTAAATTCTTGCCCACTTCTTCATAGCAAGTATATGTCCTTAGGTTTTGATGCTTGCTTGATGCTACTGCTGCTGGTGTTGCCTGTTGCTGTTGGTCGGCTTATGTGCTGCTGATGTTCAGCTTCCGAGTTGCTGCTGTTCTGTTTCCGAGCTGCTGATGTTCTGCTTTCGAGCTGCAATTGTTTTGCACATTGTAATTTTTTATTTATTTGTTGTAATTGTAATATTACAAGCATTTATTAATAAAATTATCTATGTTTTATATATGTATATATAATGGTTTGTCTATCAATATTACTTTTTTTTTTTTTTCCTTTTCTAGGCATAAAGGGCACCAGTTCAAGGGAAGAACTTGTGCCCTTTATCGACATTAAGGGCACCATTTTGGCCCTTGAACCGGTGGCCAAAACCTCTGTCATGGGCAACCCCCCAAAAAGGCACTGGTTCAAAATCGAAGCCCTAAGCCGGTTTTGAACTAGTGCCAATTACACTTTCTACTAGTGAATAATAATAAATGTTACCAATAAATTAACAAGGTGCTACCTTACTTTGCAAAAAGTGATACATAATGTCGAATATAGTGATACTATATGTCAAAAGATGATTGAAAAGTGTTACCTAATAATCAACAAGGTGTTATATTAGTTCGTAAAAGTGCTACACAATGTCAGGTAATGTAACTATATGATTAAAAGTGTTACGAAAGATACATAAGTGTTATGTAAGAAATAAAAAGTAACACTTTAAAAATGATACTTATACTATTAAAAAGTGTTACATAAGAGGGTTTATAGTAACACTTTTAAAAGTGTTACCATATGTTACCCAAAGTGTTACATAAGACCTTAGGTAACATGGGCGGATGTATCACCCACTAAAGTGTTACCTATTGTCTATAATAAGACTTTTACCACTTTATGTAACACTTTTTGGGTGTTACTTAAGGTTAGTTATGTACTAGTGGGTTACGGTGGTTTAGGGGGAGGCGCAAGGGGATCTAGGCGAACGTTGACGCAAGGAAAGGGGGGTTCTGGGTGCGGCGATGGCGGGGGCGGGGGCGGCGGTGGTTGGTGGTGGTTTTTTTTTTTTGTAATTTATTTTAAAAATAATTAGTTTAATTTAGTTAGTTAAATGTTTATTAGTAACTAATATCTTTTCTTAAGTGTTAATTAACATTTTTGACCAATCACATGGCTATTCTACCGGTTACAGGTCACTCGGGACCATTGAGAGTAGATTTACATTAAGGTTCAGACTATTAAAAAATAATCTAAAGTTGGGATTATTTTGGGCGAATGAGCTAAAGGTCGGATTATAGGCAATTTTTCCTAAAAATGAAGTCTTCTATCATTCTACTCCCTCCGTTTTTAAATATATGCTTGCTCCACTTTCCATTTCTGACCGTTTTTAAATACTTGCTCCATTTCCTTATTTGGAAAGCTTTTAAAATATTTAATTCATTTCTCTCAACTAGTGCGTAGACCCAACATAAATCATATTTTATTAATTTCATATTCTCTCTCTTCTAATTCTCTCAATTACTTTTGTTTTTTACAATTTTTTATTCTTCTCTTACCCCACTGTCTCCATATTTTATTATTTTTTCCAATTTGTCCTAAAACTCCGCGCATGAAGAAATGGAGCATATACTGTATTTTAAAACGCAGGGAGTATGATTCTATCCATTCAAAAAAGAAAAAGGTAAAAAAATTAAGTCTTCTATCATTACTCCCTCGTTTCATAATGTTAGTCCCATATGAAATCAATCACATAAAATAAGAAAAGAAGAATATTTGGAATCTAACATTAAAGTACAAAATAATTCATAATTAGTTTACCTTAATTAAGTTTTTTTATTTGTTTTTTGGGAAAACATAAGTCATAATGCGTAATTTAAGGTAGAAATTTCCTTATTTAGAGTCATGTCATCAAGGCACAACCAATTAATTCCAAAAAAATTAAGTTTAAAATAAAACATATTTAATATAGGTAAATCTTTTTAAAACGCCCAAAATAATATATGAGACTAACATTATAAAACGGAATATCATTCTATGGGAGTCCATAACGGCAAAACAGAAAAGCACCAAAGGGGCAAAGGTCCAAACTTTGAACACTCAAAACGACAAAACAATTTCACGAAGAGAGATAAAAACACAAAATCATCCATGGCATATCTGGTACGAAACTTGAAGTTGTTGATCACCAAAATCTCATCTTCCAATACTTCGTCATCTCAAATTTTTCCAAGAGTAGCAAACTTACAAAGTTCTGCTTCGCCTATTACCACGTTTCGTATCCTCAATACGTTTCATTCTCCAACTTGCTCGTTTCGTTCCTTTGGATCTCCTGCTTCTGAATCTGGTAATCCTTCTATTTCATATTTTCAATACCCATGTTCTTGTTTAACCACTGACATAATCAGAAGCCTTAATTATACTTCTATTATAAGATGCACTCCAAGTGTTTGTGAAAATGCCTAAGTAATCATTTTGAAATTATTTTGCTAAACAGTTGTAATTTAGATATTGGGTGTATATGTTTTACTTGATTGGCCATCTTTATTTAAATGATTAGTTGAACCAATATTCTATTTACAAGCGGTTGTACATTGTGCATAATAAAACCAAGATTATTTATTTTCCCATATGCTTGCACCTCTGTGCGATACTACGAGCAATTTGATATTAAGACTTGTTTGGATAGAATAATTTAGCATAACTTAAATTTAAAATAGACCTGACCCGACCCGACTTCACCAAAGCTGACTCGGATACCCAAATTGACACCTCTACGCAATTGTATAGTGTTGATCTTCTTTAGTTGGGGGTAAAGATTGTGTAAAGTTTGGCTTTCCATTCATAGTTAAGGCCTTTAAAGGTAATTGTGCAAATGTATTTTAGATGACAGATTCTAGGTTGCTTAATTGTATGTTATTTTATTATGAACAGAATGTTTTAGACTTATAGTATAAATGAAGATGATTTTATTGTCTTAATTTGACTTGTATGTGCTTTCCAAAGCATGGTACATGGGCCGTACATTGTCTGGGGTGTAATTGTAGTCAAGACTTTAAGACTTATGGTGTTGGAGGTTACAAAACGGGAAATTGATATAGTTTTATTACTCCTTTCAATTCAACTAAATTGATATTGTGGGACTTGTAAATAAATGTAGGGAGAAGGGAAAGGCAGGAGCCTTGTTACATTGTTAGAGACATTATTGGGTAACGGTATAGAGAATGATTAAATTCAGTAGTTATTTGGCAGTAACTTGTATCATATTTTCCTTGTTTTGAGACTAGACAATGACATGGTAAATCATCAAGGGTTCCAGATGTGGAGTAACGGAGGTGGCTTATTTCACACTTCAGCTTGTATTGATCCGACAGTAGTTGTCGAGGTTGGTGCTGTTGTCCACCCAAAAGCTACTTTGGGTGCAAATGTTCATGTTGGATCAGGCGCTGTTATTGGACCTAGTGTTACAGTGGGTCATTCTACTACACTTGGGTATGCCTCTTTGTTTTTTTTTTTTCCCCTTGTCCACTTAGATTCTAGCTGTTTTCCTTGGCCTCCATTGTAATTATTCTATCAAACTAGTGGTTTTTATGCTTTATTTATTTCAATAACATTTTAAGTATTCAGTAAAAGTTATGCGGCAGAAGAATATCGAACAATAAACTTAAAGAACACCATTGATATGAGACTTTCACTTCTTCATCCTTAGATTCTGAGCTCCGGCAAACTATAACTAAAATTTAGACAGAAATGTAATGAGTTAAGAGAGAGAAGCTCTCTTACATATTATCTTAATGAAATTAAAATGTAGCTAACTATCACTATTTATTATAGAAGATAAACTCTAAACAGAATGACTTAACAGAATAGCTAGGGAACTCTGTTATGCTGTAAAAGAGGTACTTATATTGTTCTCTGTGCATGGTGTCATGCCAGCTCACCTTCAATATACTTAATATATTCTCATAGACTTACTCTGATGAAATCAGTTTTTGGCTAAATCAATATATTTTTGCCTTGGCTTGTTTATATGAGTATTTTCGCCTGGCACACAGTTTCATCCTCTTTTTTGTATGGAATTATAGAAGTGCGTTTTGAGTGATAAATGATGAGTATTATAAATTTACTGTCAGATTGTCCAGTCATTCCCTATCTCTACATCAGACTTCATCAACTATGTGATCAAACTGTCTACTTTTTTCCAGGTACAATGTTGCGCTGAGTAACTGCTCCATTGGTGATTTGTGTGTTATTCACAGTGGAGTATGCATCGGACAAGATGGTAAACTTGGATTTTCCATATGCTTGAAATAGTTATAGTTTCTTTCTCTTTGTCATCATTAACTATGTTCTAGGCTATTAAACTTACTATATGGAATTTGATTTGTGGCTAGAGTGATGTAAAGCTCTTCTGGTTTGTTGACTTTGTGTTGAGGCAAGTGTGTCTTCCCTTACCCACTTGCCCATTCCTACAACTACAAGACTGGTGTCTGAATGATATCCTTTTTAATACTTTACAGGATTTGGGTTTTTCGTAGATGAACATGGTAACATGGCAAAAAAGCCTCAGGTTGTTATCTTTAAAACTCAATCACCGTCATTTGATTTTTGTCTAGATATGAAATTTTTTTTGTCCCTTTTTAGCAATGTTTTAATCATCATACATTTGTATGTCAATATATAGTCTTTGCTGACACTCTTACTTCCTCGTGTATTGATTTACCTGTCATGAAACTGGTTCTGATGACCCTAACATATGCTACTTGTAAAAGTTATGGTTGTAGTCTGCCCTTGTGCAGCCACTCTATTTTTCCTCCCTCATATAGTGGTCTTAAAGGTTTTGAGATAATCATGATATTACTATTGCTCAACTGTTTTAGTGATGCTTAATGAACCACATGAGAATCTTCTGAGGGAGCTCATTGGGTTGCAAGTTGCACTAAGTGAGTTAGCCAAATTTACAATGTGAGTCTTGAAATATATCTCCAGACTTGACCCTGCCAATGGAATATAAAGTTTGATCTGACTTCTTTGTTAAGGCACTTTGTTGTTGTAATAGTTCGTTAAATTTTTTACACTTTGACTTATGCAAATGTTCATCAACATGTAGAATTTAGACTGCAATGTGCATATGGATTAATATACTGTCCCAAACCCTTCCCCTTATCAGCTTGGAACACTTTGTTTTTCTGTGGTTCGTGTTTCAGAATGGAATTAGTGTAGTATATTGGTTATATTGGTATACTTGTATGATTAAAGTGTAATGAAGCCTGGCCTACAGTTATTTTCTGCACTTTATGATTGCTTATTTTTATGTAGTTCAGCCCTATCTAACTCCGCCTCTACTCTTTTCCAGACACTTTATGCAAGAATAGGAAATCACGTGGAGATAGGTGCAAACTCATGTGTTGACAGGGGAAGGTGAGTGTTCCTTTAACGTCAAATATAGAATGGGATCTATTTGTCTATTTCCCCTTGTTAATTGTTCTTCTTTGTGATTTTATGGCTGAAAATTTTAATGTAGCTGGAGAGACACGACAATAGGAGATTATACCAAAATAGATAATCTAGTCCAGGTGGGTTGTTCTGCTCCTTCTGAATTATAGCACTGCTCTTTAGAATGTTCAAATTTCATGATTCATGTCCTCTTTGTAGATTGGCCACAATGCAATTATTGGCAAGAGTTGTATCCTATGTGGACAGGTTGGAATTGCTGGTTCAGTGACGTAAGATTCTGTGTTCTACAACTATTGCTTTTTATTTTGGATGGTATTACCCTGCCATCTAGAGAAAATTCAGCTTTCCGGTGAAGGTTAAATCAATAAATATTTTTTTCCCTCCCTCTTCCTTAGGATAGGTGACTATGTTACATTGGGTGGCAGAGTTGCAGTTCGTGATCATGTCTCCATTGTTTCTAAGGTACATGTATATTAATTCAGTTCTTTGCAGACATAACTTAGTGGATGTCTATCATCTCAAAGTAAAATTTAGAATCACCTTTTTATTCTTTGACATGGGTTTTGAATCTTTGATACACTTGGAATCAACTACATTAAGGGCTGCTTTGAGTTTTAGTGAAATTTTTTGAACTTTTTATCAAAACTACTGTACCTAACTTTCTAGCATTAGATTCTTTATTTGATTTAGCTCCTAGATCATTAATGTACAAATTAACTGGTGCTTGGTCTTTTTAGGCTCGTCTTGCAGCAATTAGCTGTGTCACAAAGGACATCAAGGAGCCTGGAGATTATGGTGGCTTTCCTGCGGTATGTTTCTTTTATTCTTAAAACCAAAAAAGAATTAATCAAAGTTTATGGTGGCTTTTCTGCAACATGTTTCTTTTGAAGTGATAATGGCATTCAAGTTAATTGAATTGTTTTCATCTGGGACTGAGAATACTCTACAGGTCCCTGTCCAGCAATGGCGCAGACAACTGGCCGCTCAACGTCGGAACTGGAAGGACATAAAGAACTCTTGAGACTATTAACAGCTGCTTTCTTAATACTGGCTTCCTGTGTTCTTGGGTTGAAACTTGAAAGAGCTATTATGGTTACAAATGCCTGTTATTGTGACCTCCTTGGTGAAGCTGCTAGAAAGATAAAAGAGTTTCAGCTGTAAACTATCCTTCTGATGCAATTGCTGCTTTCCTGATGCATGTTGGCTGTTAATATCTATTTTTCATATGAGACATGGAACTAAATATTGGAGAGGATTTTTAAGATGCAACTTCGGGAACTTCTGAAGAGAGCAGCATGCAGTCTACAATTTGTCAGATTACCAAGTTTCTTTTTCTTCAGAGGATTCTATTTATGACAGCGTTCAAAGGTATAAAGTACTTTTTTTCTACATATGTAGTACGTATATTTTTTCTACAGCAGTGATATCACAATTTACGAATACGTTGAATATTTTGGAGTCTGTTTTGAAGAGCTTGCTTACAGGCATACAACAGTTAACTTGAAACCTTAATAAGGCTATAAATTAAACTCCTTAATTAACATGTTTGCTATACATGAACATTACTGCTGAAAGGAAAGGTTCAATAATTCTATAATTACTATGCTTCCCCTGTTACCATGAACAAAGGTGACTTTTCTTTGCTAACTTTGGAGTTGTAAAAGTAAGGATAATACTTCGTACATCACAAAGCAGTTCTTCTTCATAGGATGATTTGGAGATGTTATTTAGCATGACCCTTTGCAGAGATTTACCTTCTTTTTCCCTGAAATCTTTCCATCAGATCCAATTTTGAACTGACCTTGATATCTTAGATTAAGTTTCTTACTGGTACGACCCAAATCTTGATATTGAATTTCTGTCTTGAGTTCAACCTTCAACATTGCTTCAGATGAATTTGATATTGCCTTACGAAGGACTTCCCAGTGATGAACATCAGCATCAAAATGATCAGATACCATGTTTGTTTTGTCTTTAGGTAATTGAAACCCAGGTGCGATAAGATTCTGTGTCTGTCCCAAAGTTAGTTTACTGTAAGTAACAGTGAATACACTGTTATTATAGATAATGCTGTGAACTTTGTTTGGATTTTTTAAGGCAAGTTGTATATCAATATTAAGGTGATGTTCAGTGTCAGTTGATGTTGGCACAGAAAAGTTAACGATTGTAAATGAAGGTGTATGTGGACTCAAATCTAGCCAGAGAGCTAGTGCTACGAGACCTAGGAGGGCGAAAATTGCAAAAATCCAAAATTGAAAGCTTTTGAATAATGTCATTTTCCCCCCTCTACTATGTGAATGAAAAGTTGCTGGTTGAAATTTGAAGATGACAAAATAAACAAATTATTATTCTAGCTTATAATAAAGCAAAGCTTCTAATTTACAATATGGAAGTATACTTGCTGAAGTAAACAATCAATTGATGAAAAGTGAATTCATAGAATAAAAACAGGAAAAAAAAAATAAATAAATAAAAGGTAAAACTTGTAGATTAATTTTTGGCTTGTAAGTCGTAAATAAAGATGAAGCTTCTCAGTGTAACAGGAATCTCGTGTTTTCTTCTTACATGGTAATTCGATTGTGCATTGCTAGGAGGTTGGCATGCATGATGAAGACTACATCACAAATACGTTGACCTCAGGTAGTCAGGTTAGTTTCATCGACATGATATCACACATTCGAATTGGGGATTCATCGGTTCCTTTTTAGAGAAGCATTGCTCAAATGAATAAGAATGGTTTGCCTAATTTACACTCCCTAAGGTGCTTTAGCTGTATTTATAACAAGAATTTTTACCTGTATTGTAGACAGAACTATAACATTCTTTGTATCTAAGATGTGTTTCGGCTCTTAAATTGTATATATTCCTTACATTTTTCACAAAAGTTGTGTACACACTGATGGTTTATTCTGTCATATTAATAGGTTTGACTATATCTAAGTGTGAAATAAACTATTTCTACAACAGTTTCAGATTGCCAAGTTTCTTGTTCTTCAGACTTTCATAGGGTGCTATTTATGTCTGTAATCTGTTATCTGACTTATCTCCGTTCTGAGCTCATGTCTGTAATCTGTTATCTCCATTCTGAGTTTGGAGATACAGAGTACTTTAAAGTAGTGATATCACAATTCATGAATAAGTTGTATATATTGGAGTCTTTTTTGAAGAGCTTGCTTACAGGCATACAAGATTGTTATTTGGACTTGGGTCCAACACTACAGATACATGTCCAAATGTATGACTCGGCAATTTTGTGAAAATTATCCATGATTTTGAACTAAAATGATTAAGGACATACTGTCCTACCCAACTCAGAGTGTATATTGAGGGTTTGACACGGGAACATGAGATGAAATAAAGAGTCCGGGTAACATAGCATAAAATAGTTAATTTGATACTTTAATAAAGCTGTAAACTATACTCCGTAATTAACATGTTTGCTATATGAGCATTTATTGCTGAAAGGATAGTTTCAATAATAATTCTATAACTACTATGTTTTCTTTGTTACCATGAACAAAGGTGACATTTCCTTGCTAACTTAAGAGTTATACAAGTAAGGTTAATACATCACAAAGCATTTCTTCTACATAGGATAATTAGGAATGCAATTTAGCATGACTTTTTGCATAGCTTTAACTTCTTTTTTCCTTTCCCTAAAATATCTCCATCCGATCCAATTTTGAACTGACCTTGATATGTGAGATTATAATTCTTGCTCTTATGACCCATTTCTTGATACCGAATTTCTGTCTTGAATTCAGCAATCAACATTTCTTCTGATGAGTTTGATAATGCCTTTCGAAGGGCTTTCCATTGATGAAAATCAGCTTCAACATGATGAGATACCACTTCTGTTGGTTCTTTAGGTTTTTGAAAGTTAAGTTCGACAAGATTTTGTGTCTGTGCGAATATATGATTACCATAACAAACAGTGAATACATTGTTATCATAGATGACGCTGCGAACTTTGTTTGGGTTTTCAACGTGTAGATGTATTTGAACATAAAGGTGATGTTCACTATCAGGTGATGGTGGCACGGAAAAGTTATAAATGGAGACTGAAGGTGTTTGTCGGTGCAAATCTAGCCATAGAGCTAGTGCTACGAGACCCAGGACAACGACTGTAATGAAAACCCACAATCTAAAGCTTTTAATTAATGTCATTTTTTTATCACTCTACTACTGTCTGAAAGAAAGGTTGCTCCTGTCAAAAAAATAAAAATAAATAAATAAAGGCTGGCGGTTGAAAGGTGAAGATGGACAAAATAAACAAATGGTTATTCTAGCTTATTATAGTAAAGCAAAGCTTCTAAATTACGTTATGGAAGTATACTTGCTAAACTAAGCAATCAATTGATGAAAAGTGGATTCAGGGAATATAACCATAAAAAAAACTTGTAGATTAATTTTTAGCAAGTAAGTTGTAAAAAAAGATGAAGCATCTCAGTGTTATTGTTCCTGCATCTCAATGTTTTTGTTCCTACATGATAAAATTGGCATGATGAAGGCGATATTGCAAGTTCGTCAACCTTCATGGTAGTTTTGACTACATGATATCACACATTCGAATTGGGGAGGCTGTTTCTTTTCAAGGAAGCATTCCTCATATGAATAAGATTCATAGTTCACCGAATTTTGCAGTGCTTTAGCTGAATTTATAACAGGAAACTCACCTGTTTTGTAGACAGAAATATAACACGCTTTATCCCTAGTGTTATAACAAAAGTTGTGTTCACACTGATGATTTACTTTTCCTCGTATACTTGGTTTGACTACACTTTTAATTAGTATTATATGAGAAACTATTTCTACAACAGTTTCAGTACACTTGAAAAACTAACAGTTACATGCAGGTCTGCTTCAGAGAAGCTTCATTAGAATCTAACCAAATTCTGCATTCCTCACTTGTTGATTTGCAGCTAGTTTATCTTCTGATCTTGAGCTGTATAAACGGTGATCGATACCTGTTTCCAGGAATAGCTGTATACAATGCGTGGATTATTGTTCAAAAACTCGATCACTACAATAACAGTACAATATATGTTCTCTGCTGTACTGAATGAGTGAATATTGCTAACTTATCTTTGCTAAAAATTACGTTATTGGTATGAAGTTAGTGATGAAAGTATGTTTCTACTTGGTAGGATAATAACCAGAAGCTACTTTGCATGACTCTTTACGAGCTTGACCTTCTTCTTTTTGCCCAAAATCTTTCCATCTGATCCAATCTTGAACTGACCTTGATACTTGAGATCATACTGCTTACTAGTACGGCCCAGATTATGATATCTAATCCCCGTCTTAAGCTCAACCATCAACATTGCTTCTCCTGATGTCTTTGATATCGCCTTTACAAGGACATCCTGCTGCTGATCATCAACTATTACTTGACAGGTTACTGAGGTTTTTTTGTTTTTAGGTTGGTGGTTGATTACTATATCTGTCTCACCCAAAGTACGTTGGGCGTACTTAACAGTCAATAAACTGTAATCATAGGTGATGCTGTAAGCATTGTTTGGGTTATTGACATCGAGGGCTATGTATATATCAGTGTGTTGGGGACTGCGGCCATTTGATGTTGGCACAGAAACGTCGACAATGGTGAATGATGGAGCTTGGTGGCGAAGATCTAGCCATAGTGCTAGTGCAACGATACCTAGCAAGAATAAGATTATCAAACCCCAAATATAAAATTTTCTGTTTACTGTCATATTTTCGGGTTTTTTTTACTGCTACAGAGAAAGGTTATTGTTCGAAGATTTGAGAAAGTTAAACATTATGGTTATTCTATTTTTATAATGAAATCAAGCTTCTAAATTACGGTAGGAAGCTAAGGATACCTGTTGAAGGAGGCAATTAGTTGAATGTAAAGTAAGTTAAGGAATAAAACTACAAAAATGGCAACCTTTCCTTTTGTACCAAAGATGAAGATTATCAGATTGGCAGAAAATTTGTGCTTTTCTTCTTACATAGTTTATTCGATTGTACATTGTTGTAAGGGAAATTGACATAACCACTTTAATTTATTCTAATATACATATTGTTTTAAGGAAAGGCATTAGATTGTGCATGCTTTTAAGTTCATGTACTTTTCTCTCTCTCTCTCTCTCTTTTTTTTCTTCTTCTTTCAATTCCTACCTAAAAACAAGAAATACTTTTAGCCACTTTCAAATTCTATACTATCACAAACGTTTAATGATTCTTTGAGGCAAATTACTTGTATATATTCGATTGAGGACGTACAAAAATAATTCTTTGAAAAAAAAATAATTTACGTCACATATTACATTATTTTTAATCAATCAACATGCTCTCGATCTTACATTATATGATTAAAATAATTCCATTTAAATTTATTATAAAATGAGTTTCTCCACTTACAAACATTTTCTTTTGATTAGGGAGCCAAGAGCTAGACTCTACTCTGACTAAAAGGGGCAAAAACAACTACATGCGTACCCTTCTTACCTTCTTTCAAAAAATCCCTAATTTATTGTGAACCAGGTCCACACAAGTTTTTTCCTATAACGTAACAAGGATATTTTGGAAGATAGGTTATCGATATAGTAACCACACATATATTGATTTCCTAGCTAAGGTTTATGTTTCGCAGGCTCGAGCTTTATTCCCTCATCACCCAAGCCTACCTTTCCACTTACACCAATGGGCACAAAAGCTTCAAGGTTAAGGAAGTGTAATTGTGTTGTTCGTCCAAGTATAATATATCTCACCTTAGTTTCCAACCCAATCTTTAAAGTGCCACTTTCATTTTTACCTCCTAAATTCATCTTCTCATGGTTGAAATTCACAAGCACCAAATATGTATTATTACTCCTACCACTTTGAAAGAAACCTTGCAAAGTACTCATACCAATCAAAGAACCATTCTTGTACAAAGTAATCTTGGATTCATCATAAACAATTTCCTTCGCTTTGTTCGAGTTTATAATCAACAACGACAAGATAATCGTCGATTTCACAAGCTTGACTTCGTCGTGATCTTGCATCGACAAGGTGTTGT